AGGTGTAGTTGTTGTGTTGCTGTGTCGTGTACGTTCTTGTAGCGTCACAAACTGCAGCTGACTAAGAATGCTTTGTGCTTCTGACTGTAGGTGTAGTTGTTGTGTTGCTGTGTCGTGTACGTTCTTGTAGGCATTGATAAGTGCTGTAAACGCTGCAGAGTCACCGTCATCTGCAGCAAGAAACATACATTTGCTCAGTGCAATATCGATTTGATGTGCGTCAGCACAAAGTGCACCGTAAATCCAGGAATAAATCCCTAGATCTAGGTGGAGCACAGGAATACACACGTCTTGCAGCTCAACAGGAAGAATGGCTTTTCTAATCACGTTGTTGTACCGCCGTGCGTGCTGCAAGTTGGCACCTGCTGCAACGAACTCTGTATTTAAAGCGTTCCGGCAGCAAGTCAGCAATTCAACGCTTTGTATGGCGGTGATGCAATGTCGTACAGTTTCATCAGGGGAATATCCATGCCAATTGTTGCATCGTCTAAATGCAGACTGGATGAGGCTGGAGCTACATGCATATTCATATGCATGAGTTTTTTGGTCATCACACAACACATTAATACTCAGCACAGATTCAATGGCTTTCGCATGATCTCTCACAAGGTGCTGAGTTCCACGGCTAGTACTACACAACTTTTCACCGCCTAACCTGCATACCAGCTGTAACTTTTCTTGGTGTTTTTCCATTTCAAATCCACTGAATAAATAACAATTTTCACTAAATGTTGCTAGAGATTTGGACCCAGCGGGGCCAACAAGGAATCAGCGGGGCCCCAGCAGTAACAAAAAACAGCTACACAGATACTCTTCTCCTCGGCAAAACTACCCTTGGCGTGACGAAAACTCGTTGAGCACCTCAAGGAGGCGACAAACTTCGGTGACTAGAACGATCGAACGGCAACAACTTCAGAGACAAATTTCCATGAAGTATGGCTTTTCTCAGCGAAGGAAAGCTCAAATTCACTACTTTTTTCTTTGGCGAAGCATGGTCAGGATGTTGCGCAACTGTAGCCGCGAGGACAGCTCGACGCGGTGATCAGAAGTGGTGCTTTGGAGACCCAACTGAGCAGAGATTGCGTTCGAAATACACCTCCTTGAGTACAAATTTTGAACGTTGAGAACGGGAAAGTCCCGGGAAGCGCCATCTCCTGTACAAAAACCAAGTGGGCCCGTTTTGTACTGTCGTAACAGCCGTGGCTGTTGTGCAGTGTCACATCAGGCCTCAGCAGGCTCAGCGCATGATTTGCATCGCGCTCCACATGTTTTGTTAGAAGCAAGGAATCATACAAAACACGCCATTGGTAGAAGCAAGGAAGTAGCAACGCGGTCTATGGCCGGAAAGCACGCGTCAGACATAGCAGTTTACTCTCGCTATGTTTTGTATAATGTAGTTCTGGCTGTTAATTGGTCTTGATGGAGGTTGTGGAAAGGCACAGTTTCTTTCAAGTGTTGCAAGTGTGGGTACAGCAGCAGAAGAGTGAAAGTAACGTTGAAGTGCAGTTTGAGTTTTTGTGGGGAATAACTTAGCGTAGGTTTGATCAAGGATGCCTTACTGCACTATCAAACACGACGAAGAGGAAACATGGCTCGAGAATCCCACTTTAAAAGTTCGATGGAGAGTGTGATAATTCTGGAGAAAGCAGCATCCAGGACTTTGTCCATCATTAGTTGGTGGCAAATATTATACACTACTCCCTGGTTGGAGATTTGCCATTCACTGATTGATTTTCAGCGTCAAATTAGGGGCGAATTTTGCTCCGTGGCACCCCCCTTGATCACTATCCTGGCTACGCCCCTGGCCTGGGAGTAACTGGGTGCGTTGGCATCAATGATGGGATTATCAAAAAACGCCACCTTGTCATCCTCCCACACACCCCGGGCAAGCCAATCTGCCCGAAGAGCAGGCTGCCCCGTCCGATCACCCTCCGGCACCATGATCGGCTCGACGACAACACCACCAAATGCCATATCAGCTAGCTTTGCATCGCTATCACGCAGATCATTGTGGCCTCGCTTGATAAGTCCACCTTTCGGGCAGTCAAGGCCATGCTGAAGAGAGAAGGGCTTCCCGCAACCATCACATTGCGCTGGCAGGGCAAGCGGCTGCCGACCATATGCATAGCGGATGGCAAGTTGATCGCGGAATTCTGTACTCGACAGATCATACCCCAGGCCCTCGCGCTTCAGGGGCAACACCGTAAGCCATCCGGAGGCATTTCCCCGTACGATGCGGGAGAGGGTGCGCTCCTCAAGCTGTGGCAGGTCACTGAGAATTGATTGGCTGATTTCAGCGGAAGTCACATCTCGTTCCCTGCTGATTTGGCTTGTGATGCGGCGACAGTGAGCGCTGTGATCATTTATGTTTACGGGGTTACCAGATTGGATGGAGTTGCGCAGGATGTCAGTTGCGTTTCTCGAATTCTGGTAAGCATGGGGTGCTGTGTGGACAGGATCGGCCAAAGCCAAGCCACCACACTTAACTGGCAGGGTGAGGAGCTGGTGTTCCCGAGGAAGAACCTCCCGCCCAAGGATGGCTGGGGCAAATTGCTCCAGGATGACGTCTCGAAGCGGAGCAAACTCCTCTTCAAGACCCTGGACAACACGCTTGAGGTATGACCACTCACATGAGAGCGAGCGATTCAACGCACAATATGCCGACTGGGGGTATTTCCTGGCAGCAGCGGCAAGGCAATTGACACTGCTCACCCGGTACCCACGTCTCCACTCTCTCCTTGACAAATGATTTCACTCCGTCAGGTTCACCGATACAGCCTCCTTGGAAATGGGCGGATGTGGCTACTTGGATGTTCAGATCCCCAAAGATATCATTAGCTTGCTGAACGAGATCTGGGGAAACAATAATGATACTCTTTGTCGGCTCAACTTGGTAGCCGAAAGCTTCACCCTGATCGATAAGGCGGTCGAGCCACTTCCTGATGTTGCGCAACCGTCCCGCACAAGAGACTCTCTTCAATAGGTCCGTCCCCTTCATGTAAACCAGGGACTGCTGTATACATGTACATGTAGAGTAGACCCTGGCCTAGGGGCTAGGGTATACCAGGTATACACTCTATAAAAGTGACTATACAACTCCCTGATGTAGTACAATGTCATGTACATGTACATTGTAAACCAGGGACGGTAGTGGTACTACTCCCTGATGTAAACACCCATGGCACCCATGCACCGTACATATGCAGACTTTCAACAAGGGAGTCATAAAATACCCAATGGTACTTTATGACTCCTTGCTTTCAACCAGGGTTGACAATTCTCATTATTATAAACGTAACAAGTTGATGTTAAAGGTCAGACCTCACTATAACGTCCGAAATGCGAAATGTCCCTGCCGCCGAAAACTGTATCATCTCCATTCAGAATTTCCTCGCTAGACTCATAATCCGCTACGTGTATCTTGAAATTTCTGCGCATGGCTGCATACATTTGCTTGCATTCAACCCGCATATTGGTCCGTTCTTCCACCACACAGGCTACAGCCACGTGGACTTGATAACGTGTATTCATGATGTAAATGTAGATATTATCACCGTAGTGAATACTGCATACCAGGGCTCCTGCAATCAACACATGCAGTAGACACACTAGAACATACACTGCACATCACTACATGTACATGTACATACATGTATTGCATATTCTCTGATGAGTGTTTTTGAACACGAAACTCGGAGTCACGAGAAAGATATTCAGGTCTCTGTTGTGCTGCCTTGTGTCTCATATTGGTGTACCCAACTCATTATATTTCACACCTGAGTACAAGATAAACCTCGCTATAAGTATAACAATCTGATCTATCAATCTTGCCGTCACACCCCTGACGCAGAGCAGAGAGTACGAGGTCTGATCTGAGCTGTACACTAGCTGCTACTACTAGCTGCTAGCTAGTGTACAGTCGAGTACAAGTAAGTTCAGAAAAAGATCATCGGAGCCAGGTAGTCGTAAAATACCGGTATTTTACGAGGTATTTTACGACTCCCTGATCGGAGCGCTGGCTCTGATGAGCTCCCGTATTTGGTGATTTTTCGTCACGGCCCGGGATTTTGTGGTACACTGTGCAGTGCCGCGAGATTTGAAACTTGAAAAAGGGTCCAAAAAAGGTACCTCAGTGGGGGTTCGAACCGCAAATGTACTGTTATGCAAGTGGAGTGAACGGCCGGCCTGGATCATTTTCATGATTTTTCCCCAATTCAGTGCTTTGGAGGCAAAATCTGGCCGAAATCCTATTCTTGTTATGGCTTCAAGTGCTCTTTGGAGAAATAGCCTGCGTGACTTCAGTGATTTAATTGGAAGAGCATTGCGATAGTATGGGGATGGCCAAAAAATTGTCACAAAAACTCAAACGTTGACCCCAGTTACACGTACGTATGACCAAGAGCAAGAGTATAATTATAACCCCCCCCCCCCCCGGTTATATACCATACTCTTCGTATGACCAAAAGCTAGGATATCATCAAGACAGGAGTACAACCCCTCGGCCCCAGACTAGGGCCAGAGCCTCGCAGAGGTTGTTTTCTGAATGGACTGTAGATCTGTAGTACAGAGGATAGGATCACTGTATTGTAATAAATAAATAATGATACAGTTATGTATGATTTTACAGATCATGTCACGTGTCTAATTCTGACGTCAAGATCTCCAGCATGCATGTCTTAGCAGGTGACATCATGCCATTCGTAACTAATTCGTGCACGTACACACGAAATTCGAATTTCATTGTTCGGACAGCTACGTGTGTTATGACACAGTTTGAGGACATGTCGAGAGCAAGCTCGACCATTTCGTGTTTAGATTTCACCCTCTTCTCCCAAAGAAATACAAGCTATTGGGCTATGTATGATTTTACAGATCATGTCACGTGTCTAATTCTGACGTCAAGATCTCCAGCATGCATGTCTTAGCAGGTGACATCATGCCATTCGTAACTAATTCGTGCACGTACACACGAAATTCGAATTTCATTGTTCGGACAGCTACGTGTGTTATGACACAGTTTGAGGACATGTCGAGAGCAAGCTCGACCATTTCGTGTTTAGATTTCACCCTCTTCTCCCAAAGAAATACAAGCTATTGGGCTATCACTGGTCTCACCGAAAGTGTCGCTTGAGTAGGAGATACTTACTTTGAAAGTACAGCCATGGCGGGTAGAGGAAGAGGGGACTTTGGTGTGCGGTACACCAGTGTTCCAAGCCAGCCGGATGACTCCAACATGGATAGGGAGCAACCATTCGCACCTCCAGGTAACAGACAAGTCACTGCCAGAATTACTGGTATCAACGTGCTTACGAAGCACATACTTTCATCTTTTGTTCTGTGAATGTTCACTGATCATGACTGTACTGTGCAGTGTGCAATGGAGTGCATGTCATGTGCATGTGTATGCGCACAGTTCCACTGTTTTCCTTTCTACTATAAATTCTAGAAATAATTTCCCCCTAGAAATAATAATTTCGTCATGAAAATAGAATGCTCTTGTGGGTGTTTGACTGTCACACAATCTAAAGCACTTGCTGACGCTTCCCCTTCGCAAGATGAAGTCCTCAGTACATTCCAGCAGGATTGTTATTTTTACAGTCGCACACCAATTTACATTAGGCTGAAATTAGTCTTTGTAAGTGAGTTATTCATCACTGGAAAACTTATACACACTTGGCAGAGACTCTAGTTGATGTCAGACAGAACATTAGCCAGTGATCAGATTGTCATGCCAACGGACAACGATGAGGAGTCCGAAACACAGATCAGGTCTGTGTCAAAGCTCCTTTGGCTCCATTGTGAAGTGTTTGAACTTATAGCTTTTCTCCACAGCAAGTCGAGTGAACCTTTGATGCTGGCTCAGCAGGATATGATAAGACTTTATGAAGGTCGACTTGGCCTGCTGTACGTGGCTGCAGCCGTAACATAAACCAAAAATAGTGAAAATCGGACCATCCTTGAAGATGCCAAACACTTGTGATTTATAGCCCTACTTTGGAGTCCTTCGCATCATACTGCACATTGGTGATCCATAGATGCTTGACGTTTCCCAGTTCAGTTGTCGTAGGCACGACACTGACAGTGCCATCTCTTTTGCCTGTCCGTGTGGCTGCAAGTGGTAGAACACATGCAAGTCACCCTCAACTTGCCAACTTCCCAACACTACTGAAATGACTGAAGTTAATCTCGCAATGAATTTATCTAAGCTATACCGTCAGTTTCCACGCCATAGCAACAAGGCATGCGTTTCCTTTAGCTCCAACTACTGCAAGGTAGAATTGTGAGATGGAGGCGAGCAGCGTCTCTTTGAATTCATGACCCGTTCCTTGCAATGTGCTGAAAGCCCCCATGGCTCATCCCATAACGTCTTCACGTGCCATAAGCTGTTGGCAAATGATCTTGAGCGAGGCGAGATACTAGGAGGTGATGCAATGATCGAAAAACATGACCTACAATATGTAGAACTCTTTGATTGCATTCGAAGGAATACAATCATATTGGTGTGACCGGGGGGGGGGGGGGGGGTGGGGGTGGGGGGGGGGGGGGTTGATGCAGTTGTGGTAGTTTGGTGGGGGAGTCGGAGGAGTATTCAAGTGGCTAGCCTTGTAGTGCCGGTATCATCAGTGCACTTCCTGTGCCCATGATGGCTAACTGGCTCATGTATTGGTCATGCACTGTTCATTGCTTGTGGTGATCCGTTCCATCTTTTATCCAGGTATGCACAGCGGCTTGTCATACGAGGAACTGAGCAATCGAGTTGCGAATGGTGTGACACAAATCGGCAGTAATGGTGAGTCTACCAAGATCACAGTGCACGTCGTCTTGAAAAAGACAGCAGTAGTGTACGGTATGCTCACCTTCTTTCACTGTTAGGCAGATAAGGTGGATATGCTGCAATTGAAAATACATCTGGAATTGTGATGAAAAGACTTATCCACCGACCACTGCTTTGGATTTTACATGCTCCAGCACAAGCAATTATCACAATTCTCTCTCTCTCTCTCTCTCTGTGTCTTTCTCTTTGTCTTTCTTTCTCTCTACAGTTGCTTCAGTACAGCGTCTAGCAAAGCAGGCAAGTAACAGAGGCGGTACAACAAGTGCAAGACAACGAGAACAACTGTAAGTTTGGTGAAGGCCACTGCGGGAAGTAAATATGTTGTTTCTCTCTTTTGAACAGGCGACGTGAAGACAATAACTGTACTACTACTACTATGGCGATAAATGAAAGAAAGTGTGCACTTGTATCCCAAAGATGGCAACCAAAGTATGGTAGTTTCAGACTAGACTGGTTGGGCACTACACTACTTTGGGTGCCATGTCTGTGATAGTTATGAGTGCGCACTTCCTTTCCTCTCTTTGTTTTCCAAATTTATTCGTGCAATGTAGACTGGCTGATTAGCAGGCATATCTGATGTGATTTATGCTTGCAGTGCTTCCATACAGAAAACAACTGCGGAGCTGATACGCACTACGAATGAGAATATGCATCGTTTGGAGAGTGTATCCATGAAAGAAATGTCAGCACCGCAACAGGTTAGCTTTGACATGAGGTTACCCCCGCTCTTCAAGAAAATCAAATCTCCCTCTGTCAAAAGAGAAACATTCTTTGCTGATTTTCGGTAGAAAAGTGTTTGTTGGAGCTGCACGACATGTATCAGCCATTTGAACAAGCGAAACTTCTCTACACACTACTACACGACATAAGCACAAAGCCTATTTTATTTGTCCCCAGCCTGAAATATTATATTAGTGCAGAGATCAGAAGAGAGTTTTTTTTACAATCTCACCCTCATTTCGAATTACGAAACTGCAAGACACTTCCCACCTAATTTCTAAGTATCCCTTTTCACTCATTGCTTGCCTATAACAGAAACGGCATATGCTTCATCTTGAGCGATTACGCAGCTCATTCAAAGAGACGTTAAGTAAATATAACACAGTTACCAAGGTAAGCCATTGTGTATGCCTGGTGTGTCACTAGAGTGTACATGTTGGTGAGTGCACACACGTGTGTGTCTGTGTCTAATAGCTATCTAATAGTATCTATGTCTGCACTGTGCTTATGTGGAGGGGGAGGTTGACTGGATGAGTGAATGATGGCTATTTTCAGAGTGAGTGACTGAATATGAGCAAGTGGTTGAGTTGTCCTACAATAATACTTATGTATGTACCCGGTTTCCTCTGTTTTGGAATAGTGTTAGTACGTTGATGCATTGTCTCTCCATCCTCTTTCCATTCACTACAATTATGATTGCAGGAGATTGTTGATCGAGAGAAGAAGTCTGTGGAGGAAGCTCGTCGCAATGTCTCATTAACACATGGGGTACGAATTAGTATTACTTACTACAGTCCAGTCATTGGAAACTGGAGCCCTAATGCCCTAACTTTGTAATTTACATGCTGTGCATTTGATACATCACCAGATGTATAGGAGGAAAAGATCCACTTGGGTTTTAATTGTTACACCGTACTGCGAGTTTCTCTTGCAAAGCATCACCAAACTGTTGAAAGCATTCGTGTGTGTGTGTGTGCATATCTGTGTGTGTTGAACTGTTGAATGGTGTAATCCCAGCACAAGTTGCTATGTCTAACATAGCTTCCGCGATGGGCAGGTCTGAGGTGTGTGTGTGTGTGTATGTGTGTGTGTGTGTGTGTGTGTGTGTGTGTGTGCGCGCACATGTGTGTGTGTGTGTGTGTATGTGTGCGTGTGCGCGCACATGTGTGTGTGTGTGTGCGTGTGCGCGCGCGTATGTGTGTGTGTGTGTGCATGTTGGCACAGGGTTTGAATGAGGATGAGCATTGGGAAGACGTGGATGATGACGAGTTCCTCAGAGCCAGGTATGTACTGGTAGATACTGGTAGATACTTCAGCACGTTCATGTTCTTATCGCTGCTGTTGCTGCTGTTGTTGCTATTGCCGCCGTTGTTGTTGCAGTGGTGGTGATGGCGGTGGTGGTGGCTGGGGCGCTTCTTGTTCGTGTTTGTGTTCTTGTATTGAAACTAAAGGTGCCTGTATGGATATGGGATTAGGAAATGGGAAGTGACAAGTCAACAAAGTGTGGAGAAGTACAAAATTAATAATGATGTTACATGGAGACTGAGCTGGAGTTGAGGAGCAATGGCAAATGATGATCTTCACAAAACCCAATAATACCTCTACTGCATTTTGTAAGGGACCGTCCGCAAATATCGATATTTTGTCACGAATCGAGTAAATTTTGTTTCAACCTAACGGTCCAAACCCCTCCCTCTCTTCCTCTCAGAACATAAAAATGTTGAAATCGACATGCACATACGACAAAAGTCGCATGTGTGTCACTGCTCCTACTTCCACGTACATGCAAGATGTATCAATGTTTTCTGAAATGAAATTGGCCAACCCTCTGCCACTCCGAAACGAAAATATTTCGTTTATGAAAAACAGTTTTTGAAAAAAGTTCGAAAGTTATAGTCGACCCCTAAGAGGTGACTGTAATTCCTGAATTTCAGGATTGATTAGAATTGACTGGAGTTGATTAAAAGAATGAACTTCTCCATTCAAATTGATCCTAGCAATACTCAAAAGAAACTCACAATACTACTTTTTGTGATGCGATGTTAGACATGCGACTGCGGCACACGTTTCACAATTTGTTTGGTTGCTGCGACATCTGAATGCAGTGCATAGTACATGCACACAGCTACAATGTAGTAAACTGTACTCCATTGATGCACGTTGTGCGTCGCCAGTTGCAAAAGTTGAAGTTTGGTCAACTTCTGCGACAGTGGTCTTACGACTATTTGCGATTGTATGCGACAGGCATATCCTTGTCGCAAGTGTCACACGTCACATCGCAAAAAAATATGTTGTGAATCGTGCATAGCGAAGGTACTCATCAATTCTTGCAGTATCCATGGTGACATGCACACACATGGATATTGAGCTTTCTCGGCAGAGAACTGGCTTGCCGTGCACTGCCCGATCATTGGCTATGGGCATATCCGATGGTGCGAAGGACGACGTTAAGTTCTGCCCCCCCCCCCCCCCCTTCAATGCTCCTACCTACATTCTCTTGTGCCTTGTGCAAGCCGTCAAGATTGAAATTCGCTGTGCATTTTTAGCATTTTTCTTTTCTATGTGCATGTGACGTACAGCAAATCGGGGGAGGAGAGGCAGCGTCGCCAACAACAGCAAGAGCAAGATGAATCAGACTTACAGGCCGTCAGAGATCGTGAGCAGGCATTACGTGCTCTAGAGGTGAGGAACGTGCCGTTTCATTCTTCTAACAGAGGAAAAATACATGTACTTGAACCAGCAGTTTGACTGATGAGTCCCAACTCCTCGATCCAACTCACATCTCAATTCTAATGTGCTTATTTTGCAGCAAGATGCATCGACCAATACAAAGAACTGTAGTTGTGAGAGAGTTGAGAGTTGATGAGGGTTGCTAAACTTACTACAGTACTGTGGCCTGGTCAAATGGAGAGCCCATCACTGACTGGTTCCTTACTGGCTTTGATGTGGACAGTACTGTGGCCTGGTCAAATGGAGAGCCCATCACTGACTGGTTCCTTACTGGCTTTGATGTGCATGGTCATGTGAGCGGCTGATGTACACAATGTGCCCTCTAAAATAACACTTCAATAACATCATTATTGTCTTGGCTCAGTCAGGCTCGGGAGGTTTCCGTGCACTCAAGCATACTGTGTGTGTGTATGTGTGTGTGTTTGTGTTTTTTTTTCATGGATGCGTGCACACGTGTTTGTGTGTGTGTGTGCGTGTGTGTGTGTACGTGTGTGTGTGGTGTACGTGTGTGTGTGTGTGTGTGTGTGGTGTGTGTCAGCTAGTCCGGTTGGTGGGTACACTTATGCCTGCCCTGATTGTGTTGGGTCTGTTGCCAACAGGCTCGGCTGCTTGAAGGTGTATTGTTGTATCTGCCACCTTTGTTGGTTTCAGGTTACTTTCTATTTGAAGTATACATACCTGTTAACCATGGACTGCTTCTGGCTAGATTAACTCTTGTGTAATCAATGATGCTAGTGATGCTTAGATCAGATCCACTCTGATTTAGCCACCCACACTAGTAGCAAGTATTACCTTCACTGGGGGCAGGGGTAACTGCAGTTGAATCCCAGGACGGATACCCTGATACCGTCAATCCTTTTTCTGCACCTTGTCCTCACCCACTTACTGAGGTGTGGTGAGCCCATAAGTGGGATCATTTTCAAGTCCACCCAGAGTTTTGGGGATTTCAGGGGGTGTCGGCCGTTGGGCGGTTCAATAGCCAGTTGAGTCATCTTTCCAAGATTCCTTTTGAGTCTCTCTCCCCTCTCCCGGGGAGACCCACGTGACCAGTTTTGGCAGTGAGCAACAAGTACAAGTACAAGTGGTGTGTGTGTGTGTGTGTGTGTGTGTGTGTGTGTGTGTGTGTGTGTGTGTGTGTGCGTGTGTGTGTGTGTGTGTGTGTGTGTGTGTGTGTGCATGTGCGTGTGTATGGATGCGTGTTGTGCTTATGAACAGAGCGATATCCTGGATGTGAATGATATCTTCCGTGACCTGAGCCAAATGGTTCATGAGCAAGGCGAGCTAGTTGGTAAGACTGACAGGCTGTGGCAGTACTCTAACTTACTGTCTAGTGCAATGTTTGAAAACATGTGCTCATTCAAAGTGTCCCTTTATAGAGTATCTGGTGAACTTCTCAGAGTCAAAGAGAACAGCTGCCAATCTTTCTTCTTCTTCCCTCTTATAGGCAAGGTAAAGGAAGTGAAGGTCTCTGATTGAAGAGAATAAAGAAATGAAATGTACATAGAGGCAAGATGCTCAATCTCCAGACAGCTTTGTGTTTTTGTGTTTTAGAAGCAAAATGCACACACATACCGTAAAGTACCGCCAGAGCGCCCCACCATCTCGTCCTTTCGTGGTCGTATTGTGGAGGTGGTCTGCTGTCTGTAGGTCATACGACACGGACCTTGTACAAACATTGCACATTGTGCAGTCAATCCGTACCCAGTTTACCTTCGAGCTCCACATAAAAGCATACCAAGTGTGACCTTAGTACACGAAGGTTCTCACATCGTACAAACTTAGTAGCATTCTGCCATACGATTTTCTTTCCTTGGCTGTAAATCAAGGTGGGGCGCTCTCGCAAGACGGGGCGCTCTGGCGGTACTTTACGGTACTAGTACCCAAGAACATATGAACAAGTCATTAAAGCCGTAATCTGAGAATGCAGTCTTGCACTGTGGGAGTACGACCTTTAACAACAGCCCTTTACCAAATCTTTTCTTTGAAGTTGACATCCATGGGTTGCGCTAACCTGAACTCTTATGCGCGAGCTGCACACTCTGACAGACTCTTGTACGGTGCTCTTGATAACGCAATGCAGGAAAATAAGGATGATGTCTACTACGATGATACAATATGCTGCCATCATTAGAGTCCATTGAACTGAGTATATTTATGTGTGCTGAATAATGCCATATTTGTGTCTTTGCTTGATTCATGTGTGTATGTGTCTCTCATCTTGCCTGTTGTATCACCAGATCATATCGAGAGTAACATTGACACAGCAGCAGTGGATGTGGAGGCAGCAGGAGATGAGATTATCATTGCATCACGCTATCAGGTATGATCAAGCACTTCACGTAATGCTGCCCAGCAACTTGTGGTGACTATGAGTGTGTCTGTATTGTGATTTTCAAGCTCTTCACCATTTACATATGGGCTGTTTATATGCCCTACTGTAATCGCTCTGCTTTTTGGCGGTGTTTCTGGCTAATTCAACTGTTTCGTGCTTTCTGTTTCCAAGATGCTTGAGGTAAGAAACTCTTCTGTGCACGAGATGTTGAGTTTTGTGAGAAGTGTGTTTGGGTCTGGACCAATCTTGTTGCCTTCTGACGTTCTGTGCATGCATGTTTTCTCTGTCTTTTGTTTGTCTCATGCAGAAGAAAGTCCGGTCAAAACGATGCGTTCTTGTCGGAGTACTGGTGGCTGTTGTTGGTGTTGTTGCCCTCATCATTGTCTTGACCAACGTTCACTCAAACTAGCTATGTTCACGTCATGCTGACCACGGCTGGTTCATTGTATTTATTGTTTCTGCTGAGGGTGTCTCTCTGTGTCACTGAATTGATATGCCATACTGAAGTATGATCGTAATCATAAATGTCACCAAAATTCCAAAAGTTTATTGCAGGTTTTTATCATTGCGGTATAGTGTATCTAGATCCCTTTCTGTCATTATCGGAGAAGTTTTTTTCTCACACACCTTTGGCTGGTCCTAAGGATAGGCACAATATCACACTTGAGAGTGAAATAGTTCAATACGACAATAGTACTGATCTACAGTGGAGACCGGCAGCAGAATTGGGCATGTGTGATCTGGTCGTATTTTCTCTTGTCCCACTATTATCATGGCACTGATATAGATGCAGTAGACTTCCACACTCGTTCCTATCAAACTGTACTTGTATTTGACTTGACTGTTGATGGTACAATGGCTCTGCTCTTCTTTGTACATGTTCGCTAGTGCATGTATTCACTTTCTTTTACTGTAGAAACACAGCTCTGGGCCGTTAGGTGAGCATTGGTAATTGTTTCGGCCACTCGATGAACTGCAGATTGTCATAATAATTACACTTTGGTCTGGTGATAGACTGACTATCATAGCTTGTCATTGACTGTACGCATTTTCTTGTAGGCATCCAACCGCAAACAGCCTTGCTTAGAAGCATCATGCAGTATGACTTTGAAATGCTCTAGATGGCTTCGGCGGCATCAAACGAAGGGGGCATTCGAATTGTCACTCTTTAACTTTTCGAGGAGTTTAGTTTTTCTGAAGAGGTGGCTTATTGGCCTCTTCAAAAAAATGAAAGCCTCCACGAAACTCCACAGCCTCGTCCAATGGGAGAGATGGATTAGTTTAGGAGAGCTTGGAATATTACCGCAGAAAACTGCCTTTTGTATGCATTTCCCGTAGAACCTATGACAAAACCTGCACACACGGTAAACCCCATCTGTCGCGTGGAAAGCACGCTTGGAAAAAAATAATATCATTGCTATGACAATTTCAAACGAAATGGTGGGCTGACAACAACTGTTCTATTGGGATACTTCAAGACAATCTTTTCTAAGATATTTCTCGAAAAGGTGATGAGGACAATTCGAACGCACCCTATACTATAGAGGGTGCGGCACGGAGCCATAAATTGAGCACTCCCTGACTTTTAACTGCATTACTTGATATTGTACATATAGTGGGGACTGCTAAATCAGAGTGGATCTTTTAGGCTTCATCAGTACTAAAGATATGGAGCATGAACGAAGGGTACAAGGGCAACGATCCAGCACACCGTCAAGTAGCTGAGCCAGTGGCAACAAATCCAACCACCGCTTCCTGGCACAAGTAGAGTGAAACTTCAATATAACGTACCTACAAGTGACGTACAAGCCAATATTCTGTAGCCATGCAAGGTACTCAATATCCAAAGTAAAATGACTAGAGAAGGATATGCAGGCTCTTCAAAAGAGAATTTTCTATCCAATACAAAGTGAAATGAAGTTGGTTGCTCCTACGTGGAACACACGCTCTCTGCCGAACTGAACACTTGACTGTCTCACGACTGCCATCCGGAGCACGTCGCATCTTCCACTCGGCAAACCTGCAAGAAAACACCACTCCCTGCTCAATACACTGATGAGGGGTGAATTCCCCGAAACACTGTGTATCGAGTATTGAGCAGGGAGTGGTGCTTTCTTGCAGGTTTTTCCGAGTGGAAGGTGCTCCGTGCTCCGGATGGCAGTCATGAGTCAAGTTCGGCAGGAAGTGTGTGTTACACGTAGGGGCAGCCAACTTCATTACTTACACCACCAATGTCGCTACTTCTAAGATCTTACAAAGTGAAAGGTATGTCATACCCCCTGTGTGCATTATCCAGGGTACGTTCTACTGAACTTTCACTGTCCACCCATTAGTCGAGCCAACTGGCAGCACACACGCACACATACACACACACACACACACACACTCTTCACAAGCTTACGATGCGCACTGAGGTATCACAGAAGATGGTGATAGCGATCCATGCCACAGTCACAGGCATAGTAACTTGTCGTGTGCTGTGATTGCCAGGAATCGTACTTTTACGACTCGCTGGTGATTTAAGTTTTTCGAAGTGGCTTTTTCTGGTCAGTGACATACACACAGACACGACCCATATACAGACATGTACACTGAGACACGCACGCATGCACACACACCCCACGCGTGGGCGCGCGTGTACACACACACGCGCACACGCACACACGTCATACTACACACGCACACAACGTCGCATACAGAGTTTCGGTCAGTTCCAAATGTTTGTTTATGAATGTTCTTAAAACGGTGCTAGGCTTAAAGTTTGTTCAGCGTACACCCTTTGGTGGTTCCTCTAGATAGTGATCTTCCATTTTCCTTTGCGCTTCATACACGTGTGCTCTATAGTCGTAGTTATAGATACCCATCTTGACATCAGAGCCAATACGCAGTGCGGGTGCTGGTATCGGCGAGTCCTCCTCGAAGTGCTCTGGGAACATCTTGTGCGGTGGTGGGAACTTGAACATAGTGTCGCGTAGCGTCACATATGCCACTTTGAAGTATGGCTCGAAAGCTACCCGTCGGCTGCCAGGCTGATCAGCTACAACTGCTCCATGATAGATGGCCGTGCGGACTCTGATGATATCCAATCCATACAGTAACGTCAAGTACTGCTCAATCTCGAACTTATTCATTGGCATTGAGACAACAAACTTCACCACGTCGGTCTCTTGCAGTGTTGGTCCCACAAGCTTGACTGACCAATTACACAAATAGATCAAGGGGCGGTTCTCCTGCCGTGCCTCATCAGGTGTCGGATCAGGTGCATTCACATGCCACTTCTCTTCTTCAGGAATGGGACGCTTGCAAACGCGCTGTACACCAACTACTTTGTCAACAATTTCTTGCAATTCAAACATTCTTTTTCTTGAAGCTACACTACGAATTCCTGGAAAGTGCTTGAAGGTATTGTGTCGCACCTGCTGCACCAAGAGTGAGGCACAGGGCCTCTGCACTTGAGGACATATGCCTCGTGCGAGGCTAGATGCCATTGTTATACTGGTACTCTGCTACATGGACAATACTATCTCATGCACATGTACCAGAAAGACAATCTCAAATTCTGAGATTGTTTTTGCCAAAAATTAATACTATTAAATCTTTCTTTCTACATTTTCGTCCCAGATTTTTTGTAAGTGAAAATGTGTAGAGTCTACTGTACTGTAGTTGTTATGTAGATCTCGTACGAACGAACGTTTCGAACTCGTACTAGTCGTACATCATCACTCAGACTCAAAGAGTTCAAAAGAACCAGGGAGTAGTAAAATACATGTATTTTACTACTCCCTGATTGATGCCATGAAAGAGTGTGTCTCTCACTCTCAGTCGTATTTTGTTTGACTTTGACTTCGAGGTTGAGTGAGTGAAGACTGAACTGACTGTGAAGAGGTGGACGAAGTGCCCTTGACTGAGTTACTCTCTTGGAGTTGGAACCCTGCAGGCAGGTGCAGTGACAAGCTCTCACACAAAGAGAAAAATTAATAACTTCGGGAGTTTTTGGCTTCCAGTTCCAACACTGTCATTGTCGAGCAACCCACGTTACTCCTGTTGCTCCATTATTGGAATCTTGAGAAGTCTACCTGCGAATCCTCTCGACAAGCAGGCCTGGTCCATCTCTGTTTCTCTGCGTAGCTTTCAAAGTGAACAAGAGCGAGTTCGACGCTGATCTATTGAACGTGTTATGTCTGAGTAGTTGATCTTGTGGACCAACACTCAATGCTAAATGTAATTTTACTACCTGACATAACACCAGGATGCTGTGCGCGGAGAACCTAGATTGCCTATTGCTGACTCGGGCATGATTGGATTTGCTGACTATAGCAGTGGACTATAGGAAGGTCACACGCAGTGATGATGGTGTGATACAGAGTGTTGCAGACTATAGTATTGTCAGGTGCAACTGTAGCTGCTATTGTTTGCCTGGCGTGTGGTGGTTGCCAATAGTTCTCTATTACTCTAGTAGTAGTACTGATCTACGGTGAGTACTGACAACTACTACTGAGTGCAGTGGCATCATCTTTACGCGCTGTACACAAGGATGTGGTCAATTTTCGAGAAAGCCGTCAACAATGTAAGCACAAGTAGAGCTATGCTTGTTCAGGTTGGGGTAGTGTTTTTATGTTGTGGTAAGAGTACATGAAACCCACAGTATGCAGCAGCTTTTGACTTTCCTACATGGGATTCTGTCGCGGCGGAATTCCGGGATTACATTGTAGTTGGTGTCGAAATGCGGCGGGAAGTGGTGTAGAGCGTACAACTGAGCTGCAGTTGTGCAGCAGGAGATCTGCTTGAATCCTGCTTGTACGCACACTATTTCACTAAAATGATATACTCGTGGAATTTCACCATGACAGCAACCCATCCGAGCTGCACACTCTGTATGGCACCTGGTGGCAGGTTCCTCAGGTTTCTCATGTGGTGTGCTAGTGTGGGCCAGTGGCGCTTTTCTGTACCAGTACGGCAGTAGTGGGTCTCCGGCCGGGAGGGTCCAGTCTAGTGACTATCGGCTGATACGTCACCCTACTATCTGAATGAAGGAAACCACTCCAGTGTACTTCGAAAAATAAGTATATGCATCCAAGTGATACAATGGTCAGTGTCATATGAACTCCGATCTGGCTGTGCCGGAGAATGTTTAATCCAACGGTCTGTGTCTACATACATTACTCTGTGTGTGTGTGTGTGTGTGTGTGTGTGTGTGTGTGTGTGTGTGTGTGTGTGTGTGTGTGTGTGTGTGTGTGTGCACGTGCGATGCGTGTGTGGGTGTATTGTGTTGTTTAGTCTGTTGCTGCACTGGATATAGTGAAGAGAGATGTGGGCGAGTTTTGTAAGACAGTCTCCGAGGACACTACAAACTACATAAATGGAGATGCTGACACTCCGTTTGGTGAACCCAAGGTATGAACTGTGGTACTGCTAGTGATTAAGTTGCTCTTCTAACATTACAAGTGAGCAGCTATACATTGTCTAGCTGGCTACTTGTCACATGTTGCGTTTCACACACCTTTGTATGTGCTGTACGTACTCACACCTTAGTGCCACATCCTCGCCTCTGTGAAGGTTATAGTCTCATGTGATATACCCAGTACATTCGTATTCAGTCAGAGCGGATTACTAAATTAGCTGTCACCTGGAGTCCTGCTCTAATGTTCGCACACCTGAATTAATATGGATTCCGCAAGGTAGAATTTAACTACCTGTCTTGTATGACATGTATTGTGCTTGCTAGGGACAGTAGAGTTCAGTCAGGCTACAAGTGTGTTGTGCTGAAAAGTGTTACTAGCTTGGCCATCTCCATGTGTGCATCTCCCTCTGCTCATGGCATGTCATATCTCCCTGTGCTTGGGCATGTCTAACATCGTGTGCTGTTTGTGTGGATACCTGGTCTAATGCGCACAGCATTCACAGAGAGCGCATTCTGGCACATCTCATCATGGTGAGTTCTTAGTTCTACTAAGTACGACTGGATGAAGTTCTGCTTCCAATCTGCTATCACGAGATCATGACTGTTTAGCAACCAAAGATTATACCCCACCTCCTCTCTCTCCATGTTCTTGAAGTATTCCTGTGTTATGTATTCCTTTTAAGAATTGCACCCTATTGTACACGCATTGTACACGCATTGTACACGTATATTTATTCTCGGAGACCCCCTAGATTTAGGCTTCGGCCTTTGGGGAATCCCTCAAATAATAATAATAATAATCTGTAAGGAGTCAACGGCATTCTGACATTTTGATAATGGTGCCTGAAGTCTCTTGGCCCCTTGGAATCATGATTTGTATTCCATACACTAACCAGCCTAACGCTGACCGAGCCATTGCGCCTTTGCTAGTGTGCTGACATGACCCTGCCCAAACATATTGTTCCCTGCCTTGATGGAGTGGTGATATCGAGTTTGAATAGTGCTGGCTCTGTATACAAGGGACAACCTGGACTGGAGATACTCATCTAACATTAGCCATGTGACTTCAGTACTGCCAAGCACTGAACAATGATGCGCCGAAGGATGAACAGGCTAGAATTTCACCAAGTACATGACTTGTATAGTGTACCAGTGTGTACAATGTGGCCCAACCGCTTGCAACAACTACGAGTACAATAGACAATGGCGCAAGACAAATAATGGACTTGGCTACTACTGCTCTGAACGGTGTCTTTGGCACCAGACAGTAGTACTTTGGCACTGTACACATACATAATGTACATTGGCTGATGGCGTATGTACAATGTATGTGATTGTGCAGGTGCACCATCAGGCGCTGTGCAGCATGGACATGCCGATGACGTCAGTGTGACATCATCAGCCTATGACAGGCAACAGGTATGTACGACAACAGTACCTGTAGTACATGTACCGGGATGGTATTATATAGCCCAATACTAGTACAATACTAGTACAATACTAGTACAATACTAGTACAATACTAGTACAATACTAGTACAATACTAGTACAATACTAGTACAATACTAGTACAATACTAGTACAATACTAGTACAATACTAGTACAATACTAGTACAATACTAGTACAATACTAGTACAATACTAGTACAATACTAGTATTAGATAAACCTTGTTATAGTTCACACATGTTGTTAGTTTGACAGCATGAAACAAGGTGGAGGACACTGTGTTCGGAAACAATTCAGGTTAAAGTAGCTACATGACTATCAGGATGACATCCAGGAGCGAACAAAGAATGCACGACTGACGTTAGGAGAAGTCTAAAACTCCCCTAGCATAAGGAGGGTCAGAACCGGGTTCAACACCCATATGGTTCAGATGGTCCCAACGGACCGGGACTCTACCAACCGTGGATGGTTGTAGTAAGGTCACTGTTTCCGAACACATTGTCCTCCACCTTGTTTCATGCTGTCAAACTAACAACATGTACCGGCATGTGTCCAAGTGATTTTTTCATGTATGTTACACCCAGGCTGTGCATTTTGTTTTAAGTTTCTGAACAATATCACTTACATGAGTTACTAGAGAGAATTACTGAAGGAATTTCTCATTGAATTTTAACTGGGCTTCTATTATTTTTAATGCACGTGCTACTATAAAACCTGCCTAAGCTGACCGCTCAAGGGACCTTCGAAATGTGGTCACTGTGTACAGGTGGTCTCTTTATCCAGGTTCACATTAGTAGAAATGACCAACGGTTGTAGTGGTCCTCTGAGCCTTATGAGTGTCATCGCCCTCACAGGTTTTGCTGTATCTTGAAATATTGCTGACAGTTTTCAACATCACTGATTTTGCATTATCATTATGGTATTGTTTGCTTGCCTTCCCCGCATAGGCTCAACTAGAAGCTATTCAAACGGATCCAGAGACCTACCTAACAACTCCAGGTAATGCTCACAAGTACGGTGCTTCCTGTGGCTGTGGCTGTGTGTGTGTGTGTGTGTGTACGTATGTGTGTGTGTGTACGTATGTGTGTATGTGTGTGTGTGTGTGTTTTCAATTCCCATTGCTAGATCTTTCCTGAGCACGTTTGCAGTTTTTCATTGCTGTTCTACATGTCTGTTTTCCACTGCCAGAACGTCATCACTGCGTTCATGTATCCGACAGTTTCCTTGACAGTGGTGTTTTAAACTCTTTGCTCTGTTGTTCTGATTCTTGTTTTTGTTGCCTTCATGATCACTGTCGTTTGGATTGTCTTGTTCCTGTTGCCACTGCTGGCGTACCGGAAGACCCTGTGGCTGACTTTGAGCGCTGGTGTAGCAGTTTTGATTTGGACAGTCATACAGGGGAGATCTCCAAAGTCCTGATGAAGCAAAGTGTGCGCACACTTCATGCCACCTTGGTGAGTCTTGTATCCGTGCACTGTTGAAGACAACACAGGTGTCTGTGTGTGGACATGGATGTATGTGCACATGGTCAGCATTGACAAGTTTGTTGATGTACCATCACAAACGAGAGCACTGGTTTCAAACCCCTATGCCTCAAATAGGCGGAGACAGTCGAAAACACAAGCCATCATGTATTTGCTGTCGACAGCTTTCGAAGAAGGGCCCAAGGACATAAAATTCACTTGTCAGATCTCGCCAAATGAACTGAAGAACATACGGTGTGCGTGCCATTGAAGTGGACTTGACGTCTTGGAAGAGGTCACGCAAACCAGCAAGGTCTTCGTCGTCCATGCACAGGCCGTATATCTCTTCAGACGACGAATTCCATAATACCTTGGATATGACGTTCACTTCGTCGAAAACCAGTATACCATCCGCTTGAGGCTTTTTGCAACCCTCTTTCTGCTTGAACTCTGCAAACCTCTTGTAGCGCTCATATTGGGAGATCATTGAATCTTCACACCAACCAGGCTTCTCGTTGCAGACGCCGGTGAATGTCTGCAGTGATCTGACGCTTGGAAGTTGCAGGATCCCAAAGCTACGAAGAGCTTCATACACAGACCTGCTTCTGGTAAATACAGCCAGCGCCATCCGGTAGGTGATCATTGACCACCTTTTGTCACAACTACTGGACGAGTTCTTCTGCTGGTCGCCAAAGAACATTGCACGGCTGGCAACATCCCTCTCCCATGTGTGCCTTACATCAGCCTGTGCACCTTCATCGTCAATACTGGCTATGACGTTCTCAAGGTCTTGCTTGTGCTCTTTGTTAATTGTTTGGCACACATGTTCCATGTCTGCTGTCTGTGCCTGAGAAAGCAAGAAGTCAAAATGCTTTAGCCGTTCATAGTCACGCTTGGCTGACTTGCGCTGCGTACGGGCATTGTACAGGCGGACCTGTCTGCTTTTTGGTGACATGTACTTGACAGGCACATTGGAGGATGGGACGACGCGGCTCTGCTTGTCGGCATCTGACCTGTTGCTTGCTCGCTCTTGCAGTGGTGCCAGCTGACGCTCGTTGCATTGGACCACATCCTTGTTCCGCTTGTCATGTGGTGCATTAGGCAGTAGCTGATGCCGAATCTTGCAATTAGCAGCACTTGTAGGGCCATAAGGAGCCTCCCACCTTCTCAGCTGCTTTGGTTCAATGTGGACAACCTGAAACTTCATCTCATAGTCCACTGTGCTCGGACAGATTTTCCTCTTGTCCAATGGACACAAAGGCCCAACAAGCGATGGCGGATCATCCAGAGCAACTAACAAGCCGACCACGGATAATGGAGGTCCCACATTGGTTGAACGGTATGTTCGACGCTGGCAAACTACTGCCCACTGACGATCACGACTTTCTGTCTGACTGTGAAAGCTCACATATAGACTGAAACGATCCACAATAGCTTGGCTGTCCTCAGCCAGAGGTAGGGGCATGACGTGTACACAAGCAGCTTTCATTGGAGGCACGTCACTGTCATCTCCCACTGCTCTGAAAATCTGTCTACATTCAAGTGATGATGATTTTCGGCTCGGGGGAGGGGGTTCTGGAACAGGGAAGTGCACCATTAAACCTTCTTCCTCCTACTAAGACTCTCTAGACATATTCTAACTAACCTTACTGATCCAACCAAGTCTGTACTATATTTGAGAACTAAAGCCAAGGATGTGCGCCCGCTGAAAGGCTTATAGAAAACTGAAAACTGAAATCACAGAAACGAAGACGCACCACCAACCGTCAATAGACAAGAGCACATTCTACTAAATCCACAACTTGACATGTATCTTCTAATCTCCATTCTCCATAGTTCAGTAAGTCAGTTTGTTCTCTCAATGTACCAAAATCAAGAGGTCATGCAGAAATACAGTGCATGTGTACGGTCAAGTAGTTCATGAACTCGCATTCGAGTTGTATACGCAACTGGAGCTTTAAATCTCACTTCTATGCACTGCATCACCGCTACTTGTAGGATATAATACAGGAATTTCGCTGAGACAGCAACCCGTTCCAGCTGCACACTCTGGGTTTCAAAAGTAAGAGTTGAAAGTATGACGAAGTTTAGATTTGCAGTTTTTCCTACTTAGCGGTCTCAAAGTTTAGCGACCCTGCCATCACATGCACGTCCTTTATTTCTCTAGTACAGAGGAGAGAGGAGAGAAGGAATAACATACTGGTAACTTTTCTCTTTCTCGTTGAACGTTAAACGATGTTTTTGAGATTCAATTCTTACCGTGCTCTTGGTGATGGTGTGTTGAGTGACGGTATGAACTCTTGGGCATGCTTTTTTTCTACAAGTAGTTGGCGACCGGATAACTGAAAAGCCAGTATTACAGTGCGTATCGGTTATAGCGTGGTCGTGTAAAAGAATATACTGCCTACAAGAATGAACTCTCATGTTTTCATAATCATAACATGGATTTCAAGTGCACTTTTATTCTTACAAGCAATTTTATCGTACAGTAGAATATATCGGTCCTAAGAATGGACTTTGTGTAGCAAAACATACCAGATTAGTACAAAGTATATCGCCTGTAGTAATAATATCCGTCCAATGCAGTTCCGATCTGACTCGCGTTGGGTCGTAGTGCTGCAGGTTCAACTGTTGTGGTCATGTTACTCATGTTGCATAGCCACATGGTAAGACTATGTGACTATGACCAGCCGCATGCACCGTAACACTACATAGTCATTGCATGTACGATGATCTTCCTGCCTCTGCGCACATGCACATGATATGTCACGCTTGATTTATCGTGTGTAAGAAATATCGGAAATAAGAATAGAAAGTCGTTTTTCAAACACCCACGCTATAACCGATACCTACTGTACCACTATATACTACCTTACCTTGCTTGTTTAATCCTTGCTGCGATGTTCATCCATTTCCCTCACCTGCCACGGGAAAATCTGCTGCAGCACGTTCACAGCGTTTCCTTTGTGTGCAACATACTGGTAACACCAGCTTCCCGGTAATATTGTTTCTTTGTTCATCTTCATTTTTGGATCAATTTCAATACTGGTACTTGTTGACTTGGTGCTTACAGGTTCCTGCTCAAGTCCAGCCAAGAAACTTCTGGCTACGCTATTTTTACCGCCTTCACCTGCTTAAACAGGTCAGTGCTGAATGGTGTAGGCATGGTGATAGCTCTCAAGTAGTTGGTAACACCTTGTGCGGGTCTTGACAGACTCTTACATCTATTTCAAGTACTGTATTGCTAATTGCCACTTTACAAGTACTGTTGGCCTGTAACTTAGTCACTAACTTAGTGTGACTTGTTTATGCATGTCAGTCCCTCAGACTTATGAATTTATATGCATTGTTGTTCATTTGTGATCACTGGAGCCAGTGTTTATTTGTACATGTTCAGTTGGAGTATGGAGTCATACTGAACTTCTTACTAAAACGTTTTCATATTTTGTCAGAAAGTGAGAGTAAGATTAAAGGAAGTTAGAGGGCGGTTCGAATTTCATCTCCATCTTGCCGATAAACTAGAAAAAGCAGTCAAAATTGCCCCTAGAAATTGCACTGGCTCACCCACCTTCAAAGAGAGCTGTTGTTCTTGTTTTCTTCTTTATTATTGTTGTGTCAACACCTGGCTTTCAACTATTGTTTGTATCATGACGGACACTGATTGTAGGATGATGATAGGCGTGCAGCGCTGAAAGCCTTTGCTCTGCAACCAGTTGAAAACGACCTGGAGAGTTGGGATGATGGTAAGAAGTAGTTTGTGCCACACTTTGTGTGTGTGTGTATATGTGTGTGGTTGCCACTGAGTATTGCCTGCTTTCGCTATGTATTCGTTGTTGCTGCTGCTGCTGCAGCCTGTATCTGCTCTCTACTTGGCTGTGATCATGTAACAGTGGTGTCCCCTCCAACCCTAGGTATGCCACTCTGCTAGCAAACCTATGTTAGCCTACTCTAACCTAGACACCAACGGGCTTGTGGAACATTTGCTACAGCACTAGTATTTTCTCGGTGGGTGTTATTTCACGAAAGTTAAGTGCTGCCTAACTCGTGTTGTAAGGCATGATTTACTTGCAGCCAGCGTACGCACAGCTGTGCACACCTTGTACAGTATACAGTTGTCAGTTGTGTGTCGGCTTGCATCACGGCTATCCCAGGCTACATGCACAGGAGTGTACAACAGCACATGAGTGCTAAGAACCCGAAACCCCGCATGATGTGCAAATATGCCTGTAGTGTGAACTCCAAGACCGCTACAACATTGTTTTGATGTCGACCTATACTGCTTTGAACATGTATACATGTAGCTAACAAGCTCTTGATTAACGACCTCGGGTATAGCAGCAATTCATGAATACGGACACAATCTTCAGACCTAGTGTAGCTGTGACCACTTGACTGCATGCTGTCAACCTCACGAATAGCGGCAACTCGCGAATAACGGCAACTCGCGAATAACGACTCTTTTTTCATGCACAGCCGAGGGTGGTTATTCGCAAAGTTGACTGTATTGTTGTGATATTCGCTAACATTCTCAAGCGCAAATCTGCCAGTGTTTGCAAGTCACGAACTAAAATTGGAACAGAAGAGTCCTAGTTTTAGTATATCCATATGTTTGAGGGAAAGTTGTCAACGGGAAAAGTATATTGTTATGCCTTTCTCTCTTATGAGCAGTCCTCGTTTGCGTGTGTTCTCGGTTTGTGCTGTGTGCGTGTGTGTTTAGATGAAGGATGGGATGGTGCTGGAGGAGACTGGCAGCCGATAGTTCTCAACGATAGCATAACGAGTTCTGTGTCTGTGGAATCTGCTGACACTACTTCTAGAGTGTGCGTTGGTGATGTTGGTGTTACTGCTAGTGCTGACGTACTATCATCAACTCCCACTCCATCCAGCTACATGGCAAGTGTTACTACATCGAATGATACCTGTTCTGGCATTGATGATGTATCAAGGTCTAGTCGCGGTGGCCTTGCTGCCGCCCCTGCTGCATCAGCATCAGTGTCAGCAGCTAAGCATAACCACCAGCATCATCACCACCAGCATCATCATCAGCATCATCATGTTACCACTACCAATACAATACACGATGAAGGTGATTCGGACAGTACCCATGGAGATTCGTACACAGCTACTGACTGTTCATCTCCACCACAAACGTCGTCTAGTGATGCAAGCAGCCCGCGCAGCTCTCCACCGCCAGTGTCGCTTCACTCACCAAACAAACCAGTTAGCTCCCGTGCTCGGCGCCTGCGGCAAACTGCACATCAGAAGACACGACAAGCACACGGACAGCACACACCATCGACATCTTCACCTGCAACAACAGTATCTACAGCAACTGCAGCAGCAGCAGAATCATCTCAGGCAAGCAGACGGAGGAAGCAGCAAACTGACGGCAGTGTCGGCATGACAACGCTGAGTAGCTCGTCATCACTAGGCGATGACTATGAGGCTGGTGATGGACATGACACCATGGACTCACCAGGTTAGTGTAACCCCCACCTGGTTTGCGTGCTGCATTTGTGACGTCATACGAGCCCCTGCCTGACCTGAGTCTAGCTGACTCAACTCGTACACCTGCTAGACTGGACATACAGAGCCGTAGATCCATACTGGGTGCAGGAAATGATTAACATGCATACAGTATGACCCAGGCTTTCGCAGGAGCATACGAATACAAAAGGAGCTTTTCGTATGTTGTAGAACTTTATGTACAATCATGTACAAGCACAGTGATGTCATCGGAACTAGTCAAGGGCGCCAGCTTGTACTTTAGGTCAGATTTCACCTAACGCAACTGTATGATAGACGTACAAGAATGTATGATTGAGGATATGCACCACCCTTTGTGAATATGGCGCACCCCCCAGCCAAGCCTCTATCTCTATTAGGGGTGAAACGAGTGCCAAAATTGGGGACTCGAGTACTCTTTGAAAAAAACGAGCGAGTATTCGAGCGAGTACGAGTATTTTACATGTACTGACAACATAAAACAATGCACTGCACCGTGACACTCTCGCAACAATGCACTGCACCGTGACACTCTCGCAACACCCAACGTAGTACACCTGGTCTTGCATGCAGCCTAGTTCAGGAAATAGTCTGAACTACTGTCTTTAGCTGGTAAGTATGGACAAGCAATAATTTCGCGCTTGAATGGGTCATCAGTACCAGTCAGAGTAACAGAAGTGCTTGATATACAGATATAAACACACTGTACATACATGTAGGATACTTCGAGTATTTTGCGAAACGAGTACTCGCTCGTTTCAAATTTTCGAGCAAGCGCTCGAGTATTCGATATACTCGTTTCACCCCTAATCTCTATGCTTACTGCCAGTGGACAATAAATCGTACATGATTTTTGTATGCAAGCAGGGGGGGGGGGGGGGGTGTAAGTAGGACTTGGATTAAGAGCATTGAGGAAGTACATGCTCAGAGTACAAGAGTACTCGAGAACTTGCTTGGGGCTGTGACTTCAGTGTACGCCCTTATTCCTGTCTTTGTTTAGTTTGCGTGCTGTGTGATATTTTACCAGGACTTACCGTAGTATGTTTGTCTGGATGTTTGGGTGTCTGTGCTTGTGTACTTGTGCAGCTGTGTCAGCTCAGCGTATCGATAGGTCGGCGGTGGCGGCTGTTGGGAATGATGAGACGAGTGGTTCTGAGATTGTGGTGCTGGGCATAAATGATGATGCAAGTTCGCAGGATACAACTCCTGCAATGTCACATTCAAGTGGTCGTGATGTATTGCTCGGCAGACTAATGCCATCAGCTGTCACCAGTCCGCCAGCTAGTTCTTATGGTAGTGATTTTGAAGTAATCAGTGAGACGGATCCATCTGAGGGTCTTTCACCCCTGCACAGACCCAAGGTCACCACGCCAATGACTGAGTCAACGTCTCGTGTTGCTTCCGTGGCAACGTATGTATCTTCAGATACCACACTGCAGAATGTCACAGCGACTAATGAAGACCAGGCTGATAGCGAGGTAGGCAGCGCTCCTCCAGGCCATGTCCTATGGTTATATCGTGCGTGTGCATGATCATTCATCATGTATGCTGTCTGGTTAGGTGTGTGTGTGTGAATGTGTACTTACTAATTACTAGTATAATTACTGGATTCAATCAACTCTCTACTGCAAGTCTCTATCCGTGGCCGCAATGTATGATCCTGGATAGAAAAATCGATGTGTGCACCCAGATTTCAAAATAAGCTCATACTTGTGATGCATTTCGTTGAAATCTGTGTGTACAAGACTTGATGATCACTACTTACTGTACTGGTCAGAGTTCTAGCCGGGACAAAATTGCAGGGGGGGGGGGGGCTGGTAGGGAAAACATACAGTTCACCCATATTTTCATGTTCCACTTTTGTCTTGTCACAAAATCATGCCATACGAGGGTGCGCAGAGCACCCGGAATGATCGATTTGTGGCCACATTTTTGCTGTGTGAACTGAAAAACTCACAAAATGGGGAAAAATGAGTAGGGTGGTGCGCTTCAGGGTAGAAGGGCGCTCCATCAGAGTAGGGGGCGCAGCGCCCCCTACGCCCCCCCCCCCCTTGACTAGAACTGGGGTGGTGATAGTGTCAGGAAGCCATGTATCGATGGCAAATACTGTAAAGTACCATTGATTCGTCCCCTGTCGAATTTCTGCCTGTACTGTGGAGCGACGTCGGCATATACAATGAAATACGATATTGAACCGACGCATGTACTGATGTACACAATGCGTGCCAGTGCAGGATGAAAATGTGCCCAATCCGGCATGCCAGGCCTGATCTTCTGCCGTGTTGTACATTGTACTGCACTTGACAGCCTTGATCTAATTCCCGCCCCCTGCCGAAAAACTAGATGGGAAGCAACACAACGTGGGAGGGGGGGGGGGGCAGATCAACGGTACTTTATGGTACTGAAAACATGAGCTAAATAACTCTCTTTTTCGCTTTCCTTCTCTTTCTCTCGCTTTCTGTCTCTCTCGCTTTCTGTCTCTCTCTCTCTCTCTCTCTCTCTCTCTCTCTCTCTCTCTCTCTCTCTCTCTCTCTCTCTCTCTCTCTCTCTCTCTCTCTCTCTCTCTCTCTCTCCCTCCCTCCCTCCCTCCCTCCTCTCTCTCTCTCTCTCTCTCTCTCTCTCTCTCTCTCTCTCTCTCTCCCTCCCTCCCTCCCTCCCTCTCTCTCTCTCTCTCTCTCTCTCTCTCTCTCTCTCTCTCTCTCTCTCTCTCTCTCTTGTTATGTGCAGGACTGGGAATCATGGGATTAAACTGGAGACTTGAGAGGCCGCACAGATAACAGAGCAAGTTTGAGCTGTCTATTTTTGTTAGAGAAATTATGCGTTTCCACAACCCTGCCATGAAAATAATGTATTTTTTTAATGCTATATCAACTTTTCCATGCACGCAATGTTGCAGCCCCCCCCCCCCACGCACACGTACGCCGCTCATATGTGTTTTTTATTCCGCCTAGTAAACTAACTTTAATTACTCACCTGCTTGTGAGCTGCTCGTTTCTCCAGTGCTTTTTGGTCTTTTTTCTTATTTTCCATTGTCTTGCTTTTTTCTTCAAGTTGCTGCTCATATGTACGATGAATGGTTTATGTGCAGTTTCATGTGATGAAGTGATGAAGTGTGTAGGTCTATGTGGTGTCTAGTGGCATGCTGTTGAGAAGTGTAGACAACAAGTCTTAGCGTGGGCTCGTTCTTGCAATTCTGCATCTACTTCTGCACCTGATGTTAGAACCGCGCCTTCTTTATGATGATTTGGCTGCTGCTGTGAGTATTTTGCGTATGCATGCTATATTGTGTTGCACAATCATCTAATATCTTCCCTACTGCTGTGTATACCAGCCACCTAGCACAGCACACTGCTGCAGTGCTGGGAATTTCCACATCATCACTGCACATTGTGATACTACCAGGCTGTGTCAGTGATGCAACACACATGCGGTCAAGTACATCCCTTGTCTGCACACATCCTACAGTCGCTTTGGAAGTAAAATGATCACAATGCATGCCATCAAGGGTCTACAGGAGTATGCACCTCTGCATAATTATTGGGTCTGGCGCAGCGCGCTGCCTGCATTACGTAGCCACGGACTGTGGGCCATTGCATTATGATTATTTTATCGATCTGCTACGGTTTCCTACTTACTGTTTCCAAAATGTTCTCTTGATGGCATCAAGAGTACATAGCGATAATGGGGAGTTATGCACTCTTGATGCCATGTACTAGTACTTCAACGAAGTACTTTGAACCCCCTCCCTGGTGGAGGTGAATATTGGGTGGGAAAATCAGAGTGGATTTGATAATAAAAATAAAAAAGCCTTCACGCACACCATTGGAATTTGGTTACACCAGCATTCAACTAGCTAGAAAATAGTCCATCGATCGGCTGTAGGTATGTGTGACTGGTACAATAGCACACCTTCAAGTAACCAAGCCCTAGACACTACATGGTACTACAAACTAGTACTGTATGTCCGGCCATGGAATCTAGTGATTCAACATCACAACACAGAATCAATTCACGCTGCCGGGTATTGATAGCAGCACATGATACAGTATGACACAGTAGTTAGAAGTACTGGATATGAGTAGCAGCAGCCATCAACATGTAGCATAACACTGTCTGCAGGAACTAATACTTGAAAATACCGAGCACATCTGAAGACAACTCTGCTACAAGCCTACATGAACTAAACTACACGCATCATAAACCATATAGCTGGATTTAAAAAAAAAGAAGCATAAAAGAGAAGATATAGCAAGACATTAGGGATGAGCGATGTAGCTATCTGGACAAAGAAACCAAAGGTAGAGAGGCGGAGATCTTTTCTTTCCGACAATAAAATATTCACCAAAATACCGATGCAAACGCAGTACATGCGCACACATGCAGTGAGTAAATTCTAGAAAAAAAGGCAACAAGGTTGATAACAGCATGGGTAAGTTGCGAGATGAGTGATCAACAGCATGGGTAAATTGAGAGATGAGTGTGCCATAAGATCCATGAAAGCAAGACAAGACCTAGCAAGAATCTATGCATATCGGGACAATACCTGAATATCCAGATGCTGATAGTTCATAGCAGAGGAGGTGTTTGTGTGTGTGTGTGTGTGTGTGTGTGTGTGTGTGTGTGTGTGTGTGTGTGTGTGTGTGTGTGTGTGTGGTGTGTGTGGGGATGGGGCGAGTAAAAACCTCCACTATTAGAGATTGATAGCTCAGCAATGCTCAGCAACGCTCAGCTATGGTGAATGGTGCTCTCACAAGTGCACTCACAAGGGAGGGAAATTTGAACTTGGAAAAGCGGAAGGAGAGGCAGGTGAATGTAACGTGGAGGAGTGGTTAAACAAATGCCCACTGTCTCTCACAACATTGCCCTGTGTGACTGCAGCATGGGCAGCATGGGCAGCAGCGGCGGCAATGTTTACAGGGCTATGGCCAGGACCCAACTGAGGAGACAGCGTTGCATTCACCTGAGGACCAAGATCAAGTTGCAGAGACAAGGCGGCTTGATCGGGAGAAACAGCCGCAGAACTAGCATGCGTAAAGCCAATCTGTCCAATACTAGCATGCTGTCCACTGGCAAGTACAGAATGCGCACTGGCAGTTGGTAATGCATGTGACATAACGCCACTGGTAGCAGAGCATGATGGCGCAACCATACTGGCGTGTGTTATGCTACTAGGCATTAGGCCTGCTGCTGCTCGAGCCAATGCTTGCTGCTGCTGTGCAATACTAGCCGTGCTGGGTGACGCTCCTGGCCCTGCTACAGCAGCAGCAGGAACAGGCGCAGCAGGATGGGGTAAACCTGCAGCAGGAACAGGCGCACCAGGATGAGGTAAACCTGCAGAAGGAACAGGCGCAGCAGGATGAGGTAAACCTGCAGCAGGAACAGGCGCAGCAGGATGAGGTAAACCTGATATTGTGGCAGCACCTGTCATGCTCTTCATACTGTGTGCACTGCCTGGCACAGTGGCAGCAGAATGGGTCATATTGCTAGAGGACACTCTCAAGCCAGTTGCTCCGACTACCGAGCTTGATACCGCGACACCAGCTGGAGCAATTCCAATCGCACTGCCACCAGCAGCAGCAGAAGCATACGCTGGGAGAGTGGGAACACGTGATACCAGTCCAGCTAGTGAGTCAAGAGTTTGTTGCACATGCACATGCTGCTGCTGCAGTCGTTGTTGTTGTTGTTGTTGCTGCTGCTGCTGGCGCTGTTGCTGCTGTGACGATACCAGGGCTCGTGCAGGCAGAACTGGACGCCGAAGTGCTGCAATGTCTTCATTGCCGATTCCACCAATCGTAGCAGCTACTCTCATTGCCGCTGTATTTGTTGCTATTGCTGATGCTCCTGGAGGTGTTTGCAACCTGACTTGCGGTAGCCTAGGAGACGAGGTTTGGATTCCAGCAATGTTGCCAGTATGCATGCGTGATACACCATTCCTTGACTGTTGGGCAGCTCCTGCTGATGTTACTGCACTGAGTGCCGCAGCCACCGCTGCTGAGTTTGATGAAAGGTGATTGGATTGCGCAGCTGCTGCTGCTGGCAGCAGTGCCCTGTTGGAAAGCGGCGGTGGCAGAGTGCTAGAATTGTCAAATAAACCTAGGCCCAGTTGTTGATGTATTGAACTAGACAAGGCAGAGCCAGCCAGCGCTGATGAAGACACGGATGTAGGATGAACTAAACTCATCGGAAGTGGCCCAGCAACCGGTAAATGCTGTCCAGCAGATGATGGCGACGCCGCTGCTGACACTGACGCTGAAGGTACTCGCCCTGAACCAGTACTAACAGCAGCAGAAAGAGGTGACACTGCTACTGCTGTCGCCGCCGTAACCGATGCCAATGGAGAAGGAAACACAAACTGTTGACCGCGAGGAGAGAACAAGCCTGTGTTGCCCGCACCCATCGCTGATGCCGGTGCAGATGATGGCGATTGCTGTGCACTATTATTCCTCGCATTTGGGGCAGCCAGCACTGAGGCTGTGTAAGCCGCAGCCAGGTCAGGTACCTGGGAGACGGCTGGAGGTGTCAAAACTGGATGTCCTGCAGCCGCAGCAGCAGCTGCAGCCTTGAACATACGGTTCATAGCTTGTGATACTGCCTCGAGTCCAGTATTAGTAGTACTAGTAGCACCGCCACCGCTAGTTTTACTGATCGATGTGCAATTGCCAGACGTACGCGACTGTGAAACAGCTAGAAGGTCAGCTGATGTGAGTGGAACAGGAGTGCCCTCTGCTACGGCTGGACCGGCAATAGTTGCGTAAACAACAGCTTCTTTTGCAGCGACCAGTGTATGACTAGCAGCAGCAGGAGGTGGAGCAGTGGGAGCAGCAGCAACAGATCTTGGTGCACTAGTACTACTTGCAACGGAGCAAGCACCAACAGTACAGGTAGGGATGACAGGCATTGGTGGAGGAGATGGAGTTGCAATATCACCTGTACACAGGAATGTTTCAATGCAACTTGCTTCTTCAAAGACGCCTACACCCTGGATAAGACGTAAGCCTGCAAGCAAACCAGCCGAGTCTACGCACGCAGGAGCATCACCTAGCTGCGTGTGGCCGACATGGTTACGCGATGGAGCGCACATATTGGCCCCTGGTGACATGGGAAGTGTTAAAGATGGCGGCGGCGGCTGTGTTACCTGCGCTGCTGTTGATGGTACGGAGTCTGCTGCTGCTCCTGCTTCAGGTGTCGGCACACAATACGCATGCTGAAATGCCGTAGATTTATCCGTACTAGTGATGTACATCATAGATATTTTGCTGTGCCCTTCGGTCTTCTTGGCATAAGCATGATCAAAGCCAGAGGACTTGATGGGAAACTGTTCACCGTCATCTTCCTCACTAGATACCTCATTGGATGGCAATATTGGCATCCGGGCCAAACGGTTCTTTAAATGCTTCACTTTGGAGCGTGGAGGAGTCTTACCTAGCTGGGATGACGGCAAGGTGCGAAGATCTACAACGTCCGCGTCTTTGGACTCTCTGAGTCCCTCAGTGCGCGCACTCCGGAAATCTTCACACATCAGCTTGGCTTTAAGATGTCGCTGGGATGTGGGGGAATTCAAACCACCACTTATAGCCATTACCCTGGGATGCTTGGCAACGAGGTCTCGTATCGTCTCTGCCTGAGGATTAACCTCGGCGCGCGCAGGATGAGGTGGTGGTGGTGGAGCAGGTGGTGGTGGCCGTGACGTCAACACCGTGATGTTAGACTTGGGCAGTGCGAACGACTGAGATATTGCTGTAATGCGGGATTGCTGTTGCTGCTCTTGTCGTTGTAGATCTGATGTTGGTGTTTTCACCTTCGGGGTCTTTTCCTTACGAGGTGTCTTCTCAGCCTTCACCTTTTCTTTGACTTTTTTCTCCTCTTGCTTTTTCGACTTGGATCCTGGTGGCCGACCACGTTTCTTACGCTGTGGTACCACTGGTGTTGTGTCCTCATTTTCGTCGTCATCATCTGCCTCCTCTAGCATCTCCCACTCAGAGTCATCGTTGTAATCATAACATGGTCGTTTCCTAGACCTGCCACTAGACTTCTTGGGACTGAGATCACCAGCAGCCTTTGCAGCCTCTGCAAGAAACTTTAGACCATCCACAGGGGCAGAGCGTGAAGTCGCTTTGCTGACATGGGCTGGCGACGGCGATGCCTCCCTCTTCGGTGTTATCGGTGATGGTGGGGTGTCCTTCTCGGGAACATCCGGCAGATCGGCTACAATAGCACTAAGTGACGGCGGCAAGACGTAAAGACTCTCAGCGTGACGTCGCCTCCTGGACAAGTACACATACATGAGCAGAAACACACGAGTGCACACACGAGTGCACACACACACACACACACACACACACACACACACACACACACACACACACACACACACACACACAGATGCACACAAGAACAGGATCAAAATTACACTACTTGCAACAGGATTCTCATTCAAGGATACTGATCTAACCCTTTAGGGCCCAAGCAATTGTAACACGGGTGCCCTTTAGCCGATTTTGGTGATAATGGGCTTTTCTGGAAAGCGCTGGTCCATAGAAACAAGGGATCGCCAGCAATCCATCAGTGGAGCCGTAGGACCAAAGCCAGGCTAGCGCCAGGACCTTAATATGGGCTTTCACAGTATGTGAATAGCCGAATACTATGGTATTGCACACCCGCATTGCGCTTTGAGGCACCTCAGCAAGGCGATGCTGCATCCCATTCGGCGTCGCAGAATCGTGCATCGCAAAATGCTTCTGTGCTTCCCACTGAAGTCAAGACACATACTGCTCAGAGCTCGCAGACATCTACCGCATTTCCCAGAGTATAGGTTGCACTCGATTATAAGTTGCACCCCCACTTTCAGGTTTGAGCAATATTGTTCGGATAAAGTCACTTCAGTAGTAAGTCATGCTCGATTGTAAGTCGCATCCCCTTTTTGCCATTGAATTCTAATGCAAAAAGGTGCGACTTAAATATATTTGGGTAAATATGGTACTAGAACTCAAATACTAACAAAATAACCAGGAAGAATTGACACACTTAGGGGCTGTCCGCAAATATCGAACATTTTTCACCAAACGAATTATTTTAGTTTAGACCCAACCCCTCCCTCCCTCCCCCTCAGAACGTAAAAAATGTTGATATACATGCGTATACAACAAAAGTCGCAAGTGTGTCACTGCTCCTAAACTAAAGTCATTGTACATGTATCGAACTTTTCTGAAACGAAATTGGTCAACCCCCTCCCACCCCATAGCGAAATTATTTCGTTTCGTGAAAAAAGTTCGATAATTATGGACGACCCCTTATCGGACATATTGTGCTTACTTTTCACCCCAGAAGCGCTCAAAGTGTTTTGCCTGTAGAACACGCACAAACACACACACACACACAAACACACACACACACACACAAACACACACGCACACACACACACACACACAAACACACACACGCACACACACACACACACACACACGCACACAAACATATATGAGGTTCAAACAAACAAATACATGCACAGTCTAAGCACATACGACATTCAACCACACTGCAAACACGGAGCTAAGTTCGCCAGTACTGAGCGTTGAAATCAAAAAACAACATACTGAACATAATGAACAGAGTGGAGGAAAGAGATTTAGAGATCTAGGACAGTAAAATTACCTTCCAAGGGTCCAGGCGCAAGCGTTTCTCATACTCTGCCTTCAAACGCGACCGAACTTCTGGCGCAAAGTCCCCTATTGCAAGACGACAACATACACACAAACGGCATGCATGAACGGTGGCAATGCAATCGAGCATAAAAGAACAAAACGTTATGTGATGCCACTGTGTGGGGTCATGAAGCATAATATCCAGCGTACTGCAGACCAGTCTGCAAGTGTATACATTGAGGGCACGGCAGAAATCCCACAGCCATGCAGAGATCAGACCGTACACACAGAACACAATCACAATAATTATCATCGGGACTACTCCTATATCACCCAGCAACCTTTTCTAAACAAGATCTGGTCAGTTCCATAGCAAGGTGAGAATTCATCATAGGAATCATGGATACCCAGAGCAGAGATTTGGAGACGGTACTGTACAGTAAAATCGCACGTAAGCAAGCGCCCACCATGTGCAGAAATCTTAATATTCATTTTCCAAATTTCCATCATCACAAGTTCTCAACTGATGAATTTGTGTACCCTGGAGCTTACCATCCTTCAACTGGTCTTTCCACAACTGACATGCGCTGTTCAAGAAGACATTGTTGAAGGCATCATTCGATATCCTGTTTAGTATGGCACAGTACGACGACGACGACAACAACAACAACAACAACAACAACAAGCAAAGGCAAACACATAAATAGGACATTGCCGGAAAAGACTAGGATTGAGCTCATCCGCACACCGGAAAGTCAGGTGTATACGCCCACTGGAAATAACGCCCAATGCCCAATCGACACCTACACTCAAAGCCCGTGAGTTGGCCCATGTCCGAAAACCGTGCAGGATGCCATTGTGTCAAAACGGGTGCAGAAGTACATGTGCACTGTCATGACATGCGTAAGGTAAAACTCACTTGATTTACTGGTACTTCTACGCGGCACATTTGACTTGCTGTAAGCGTGCGGTGGCAGTGCAGTGTACATTGTACAATCATGTGCTTAAAATGTGTGGCGATGACAGCACATCACAAGGTGGAGGACACACTGTATAGAAAACAGTGTTCCTGACAGCAACCAGAAACTGGTTGGTAAAGTCCCGGTCTTGTGACCATATGAACCGTGATACAGCCCCCCATATGAACCGTATGGGGTTGTGTCCCAGTTCAGACCTTCTTTATTCTGGGGGCGGGGGCACAGGAAATTCCTCGATCCCATAATTAGTACATGTACTTGTGAGTTGAAAACTGGCTGTAAATGGAACAGTCCTCTGCATGTGGCTGCCTGGCTTTGCCCTATATTTTTTATAGCGAGCTACCTGGAGTTTGCGAGCCTGGCGTGTTTGCATTGGCGGACATGGCGAATATGGACCAAAAGCATCTGCCATTTGCGTTGAATGACCACAAAATATGATCCACTGAGATGTGGTGTGCCAGCGTGTCCTCCGGCCTAAGGGTCACTGTCCTGGTCAACTTACAGCATTTGCTGATGGAGTGTCTCGTGTCCGGCCACTGGTCATCCACAGGGCAAGCGAATGGTGAGAAAAAAGAGAGCGAGAGCGACGCCTGGGACTCACGAGTAAAGATCATGTTCTAGGAGAATGCCTGCTGTAGTGAGCCCATCATGAAAGCTTGGATCGAGGCAGAGTGGGGAAATGTGTTTACACCCTACACCCCCCCCCCCCCCCCCCGCCCAAACTAGACAGGCAACCTTCTCACTATGGATACGCACCGTGTACAGCAAACGGATGCTGTCAAGGCTTTGCTGAAAAAGCACGTGCAAGAGAACCTGAAGCTCTACACTGAGTGTGGCATCAATGCTTGAGAGCGAAGAGAGTTGACGACGAAATGCCATGATCCTCTGTTGATTATACCCAAGTAACTTGATGCCTAGTTCCATGGCAAACCACAAACTGTTCTGCTATTGTGATGCTGTACATGTGTATGCATATTTGCGCAAACTGGTACACATGCTTATGAAAATGCAGGCGATGCAATATGCACCTTGTTTAAGCCTGGTCCTGAAATAATGTCCATACCCAAATATACGTCCACTTTTCAGACCCTTGTTCGGTATGTGCCCGGGGCTTATTTACGGAACTTTACGGGTACATAAGAGCAAAGAGTACCGATCAGATGGTGGCCCCGATGCAGTTGAAACTGTCCTTGCGTAACATGAAACCTCCTTGATCATAGCAACAGCAATCTCTTTAGACACAATGTGCCTTAACCCATTTAAAGGGGAAGTCCGGTGAAACATTTAAATTTCAGAGTTGGTAGAGTTTTGGGCGCTGAGTCGAATGGTGTTGGTCCCACGTGTCTCTGACAAAGCGTTCTCGAGATATTTCCGTTTGAAAAACTGAGTTTCGGGGGGCTGCGCCATGACGTCATGCGGCCGCGCCACACCCTCCGCAACGTCATAGCGTGCAGCTAGGTCAAAAGGAGTGCGTGAAAGCAATAGTGTCAGTGCTATTTCAAATGATTTGGCGACTGATATTAGGTGGTGCAAGCAACCCCGAAGACCTAACTCCTTGTGAGAGTGAGGATGCAGCCATGGCTGACCTTCATGAGTTTGGTCTGGGGCTGAGAACCTTGGTATTCAGCTGAAGAAATGGCCGCGCGGGCCGGTCAAGAGTGAGCGCTACTGAGTTTCCGACTGATGAAGAAGCAGCAGCTATTGCAGACGAGGCTGATATAATTATCAGATCGCTGGAGAGCAGGGTCGCCAAAATGGAGAAGAGTGATGCGAGTACTCTAAATGTTGTTCCATACCGATTCGCTTAGACTCCAGTAGCCTGGCACATGGTGATGTTTTGGTGCGAACTTGGCATATTTCGGACTACTCAATTGGAGAACAGTGCAGGCTCTTTGAACCACGGGCACGGCTCTTCGCTCGCAACGCTATGGAATCTGAAAGTTCTAGGTCCGGGAGCTGTTCGCTGTTTTGTCACTTGTCACGGTTGTGCACTCATCGCTGTAGCATAAAATAATGAGGCGGGACTGGAGCGGAAAACTAAAATTTTCTTTCTCAAAGCACAACCACCGGCACCGGCAAGGAGAAAAGCACGTTCTCTGACTACATGAACTGATACGAGTGTAGTACATGACAAGTCTGTGTGTTGACTAGTTTTCTGAGTCTTGTGACTCGAGTCTTGTTGTAGCTACCCCAGCACGGCAGTGCGGGAGTGGTTCCGTGTGTGATGAGTTTGTTGACTGCACTACAGCTAGCATGCACGCAGCACATTGCTAGAGCCGTAGTAAAGGCCATTGCATGCTGACGGAAAAAGTCCAACTCGGAAACGGCTAAAATACGGTATAACCTCGAGGTTTACCGAGCTGAAAATCACAGGGTACGTAGTATTTGTAACACTGAATCGAATGGTCTTGGTCCGAAGAAGCTGCGACAAACGGTTCCCCAATCGAACGCGCTCCGAATATGGCCATTTTGTACACAACTAGATGGTGTGGCTACCTGGCTGCACGCTGTGACGTCATCACCTGGATCTGGGTGATGTGCGCTCAAATTCGCGCATGTTCGATTGGGCGCATCTGACGAACCATGGGCCGCAGCCTCCTCGGACAAAGACCATTCGACTCAGCGACCCGAACTCTACGGACTGTGAAATTTAAATTTTTCACCGGACTTCCCCTTTAAGGCTACAGATCTTGGCACCCAGGGTTTGCATTCCTTATTTGGCATTGGAAAAGACGTATATACACGTCCTCAGCGCCTAGCGCCTGGGCGTCCTTTTCAATGACGTATGCATGTATATACGTCTTTAGCGCTGAATGGGTTAATACAGCACACTTCCTGACAGTTTTCTGCCAACTATAGTTTCTGGTTATAACACAGTATTCTAGGTCGTTGTACAGTGAGTACATAGTGACTACTATTGCCGGTGTCTTACAACAAAGGGGTAAATATGCCTGAACACAAGAAGGCACACACATTGTGAATAAAGCGCCCATACAACATGAATGGGAAATACTGGCGTTGGCAAATGATCTTCCACGTGTAAACACTCCCATTCCCCGGGCAGGCTCTCAGCTGCACATAATGAATGAGAGGATTGCCAATAGTTCGCCCATTGGGCATCATCAGATGATCACCGGTATTAGCTTTAACCCTTTGGAACTGCACTGATCACACCACACCAATAGATTGCTGCAATTGCAACTATACTCGTTCCAATTTCCATCATAACGCTGCTTCTACTTCACCGATTTTGACGATCTTAGGCTCGTTGGAAAGCTCTTGGAACGAGGATAACAGCGAGCCCAAACTCATTCAGGAGAGCGATTGCTGTCTGCTACTGAATGCCAGGAACGCCAGCTGAATACCAAATCTAAAACGGGAATAGTCCTTGTCTCGCCATTTCACTCGTGCTAGCTCAAAATCATTCAAAATTTTTCTAACAGACTCACAAAAGCTGTGACAAAAAGCGCTGGGAGTGATGTCACACGCTGCGTGGGCAGGAAGAGGGAAAATCCCACTTTTTTAACGAAATTTGCACTTCGCTGACGCATGAGAAATCGAGCGAACGTTCGAGCACTTGCCGCTCTGTCGTACTAGCTCGTATCGACCCCGGAGTTTTCGAGCCGACAGCTTAGATTCTCTGCTACTTCGTAGGTATTTCGAATGTTGAATTCGGTTGAGATTAGACTGAGTTATGACTCGTTGAGTGCACTGGCACACATAACATTGGCATCGTTCGAATTCGAACGATGAGCTCCAAAGGGTTAAACGCAAATCCAGAAGTCACGGTGCTAATATGGCATATGGCTTGCTTACGTGCTGGATCCCCGGTCAACATCCGGTAACAACCGAAGCAAATGGCCTTGATAAGCTTCGGGCAACTGTGCAAACATTCCTGTGTTCAAGAAATTCTGTCAAACCCACCAGCACACAGCGCACAGCATATAGCACAAACATAAGAACAAAGACTATCACAGCCATAAGTACGAGGTCTGGGGTCATGGCTTGGCACTCACCCACCCGCCCAATGCATTGCCCTCTGCAGACAAACAGCATAGATCCCTAGCCTACTGTATGGTTTCGTGCAAACCAATCAAGCATCCCTGATTCGTCAATCAAGCATCCCTGATTCGTCAATCAAGCATCCCTGATTCGTCAATCAAGCATCCCTGATTCGTCAATCAAGCATCCCTGATTCGTCAATCAAGCATCCCTGATTCGTCAATCAAGCATCCCTGATTCGTCGATGCGAAAGTCCCCCAGACCATTCGCAACATCAGGTTTCTCACTTGTCAACAAGTGACTAAAGTCACTGAACCTCCCTAATATCTTTCTGGTCACAAGTCTAGATGAATGTAATGTGTGAAGGGGAGGGAGGGGTGATGGAAGAAGGGTTTTCCTGTGATATCCTACACGCAACAATGAACATACACACATTAACGCGGATGACACCAGCAGTGACTACTGTATCAGTCGCCAAAACACACACACACACACACAAACAAAAGAAACAGAAAAAACAAAGGGAGCATCACAAATACCTTCAAGTTGGATTCTTTCAAGATTGAATCGGGTGATTCCAGGTCACCAGACAAGGCCGCTAACGTCGCCGCGGCCTGCTTGTGGGGACTGGGACCTCGACGAGACTGTAGTAGCAGAGTAACAGAGGGCAGGACACACACGCACACTGTAGACATTAAATGGAGCAAGCTCCGTGTCGAAGACAGTTGAGAAGATGTGAGTGACAAGTCAACCTGCTCAGATGGGGGGGGGGGGGGAGAATTGTCATAAAGACTATTGCGATTGCACCTGAAGAAGACTGGCCACGATAGCAGTGTTCTAAGTACAATGTGGGAGCATTGCCGTACACGGACGATGGGTACAGAAAAAAAAGGATATGCCAGGCTAGAAAGATGGGTTTGCCCAACATTCTTTGCATGCGAGATCACTGTGGATGGCAGTGTTCTTCATATTCTCCTTTACCGGTCTCAGCATGAAGATTCATGATTCATGCACGCAACTCACTGAATCAGGCTACCAGTCATCAATAACAAAATAACTGCCTGGACCAGTGGCATGCTAAGTACTACAGAGGTTAGTCGATAAAGTGCACGTTGAAGCTGAGCAGAATGGGTAAAATATGCGTTGCACCTGAAAATTAATGCAGTTGTCCCTTTTGGCCTTGTTTCTCAGAGGTCAAAGTCCTGCACCAATGTGCAACTTTGGTCCCTCAACACACTGAGTTGCCCCATTCAGCCTCCGCACTTGAACTGTGTGAACCGTCTTCCACACGGACTACATATGGGGCAAGTGTGTACTCTACCAACAGACTTGTACACGTTGACATTGAACGCTGTGCTACCTTCTCAAGTAACTGGTCTTTGTCTATAACTAGTTGTACATAATGAAATTAGAGGTCTGGAGAATAACTATCACCCCGCATTACACATTATCCACACTTGATTGCCGCTAAGTTGTCTTGCAAAGATGAAAAGCGCAACACCCAACAAAGTACGGAGACAATCTGAAATGCACGTGCACAACGTGATTGAAGTGGGGCTGACAAAACATAACATGCTATAACAGAAAACTTACAATTTTCGGTGGTGGCCCAAGCTTCGGAGAATCTGGTGGTCGGCCACGTTTGCGTTTAGGAGATGGTGTAGGGAGCTGCGGAGCTGATGCAGTGCTGCGGCCAGAACCAGATGTCGAAATTGCAGGTACGCTGTCTGAACAATCTACACTAGCAGAAGACGGCTGTACAGATGCCGGTACCTTTAGACGACGTTCGCCAGTGCCACTAGTGCGCGCAAGGCGGGCCTTCTTACCTGACGTGCGGGGACTCTTGCCAGTGACTGGCACATCCAGTGCCTCGCATATACCTGCCTTGGACGAGGTTGGTGTCAGCTTGCGAGGGGTCTCCGTCACCTTACCACTAGCACTACCACCACTGCTAGTGGGGCGCACCGCATCGGGTTCATAACGTGATGGAGTGACGATCTAACCAGCACAAAGACAAGACACAGCAACAGCAGAATGTAATGTACAGCCATAACTGTTGCAAGTGGAAAGATTCTGTCACCATACCACACTCACACTCTGCCCATATTTCTCACACTCAGCGGGGCATTTGTTCTGCGACTATTCTGTAATTCTTACTTGGTTACTTTATTGTGATGTTTTGCCAACTGATGAGTCACAAAAAACATTCCTGGAACGAACAGACAGGCTTGGCCTTGGTGTGTGCATGAAGTTATGACTGCGAAGCTAAATCTCTTACATCACAGTCCGCTTATTAACGATATCATGACCATGATGAAAAGTTGTGAATATAAGGGTCTACGTAGTTTGGCAATGTTATCCATGATCTTGTTATGTCGTCATTGAAGAACTAGATACCAATTTCTTGTGATCGTTTCATCCCTGCCCTCTGCATGTATTCAACAGACTGTACATACCAACAAACAAGCAAGCCCTGCCACAAACAGTTTTATCAATGTGCACCACTTAGGGAGCATCTCATAAGTTCGCATTTTGTTTCTAAACGTAACGCATTTCGAAACGGGGGTAGGGGGGTAGCGCCCTTTTCGAATAGAAAAATGACTGTTCGCACATTTTCTGGAACTGTACAATCTGCTACCATGCTAGATCCCTGCAGCAAATTTTTTTTCATGGGGGGTAACGGCCTCTTTTACGGGCAAAATAAAGTCATGTAGACGTGAAAAAATTGAGATACCATGAAAGGTAAAATAGAATTTTATTCAAGTACAATACATTGGGAAACTCCAAGAAATTCCACGTAAAACAGACGGAATTCAGTTTTCAATGGCCGATGCCTACCCCAGCACCATCCTGCGTCGACAGGCCTGTCAGGCGCCTTCTAGACCCCCCCCCCCCCCCCCCCCCCCAGCCGGAGGTCGACTGCATGGATCACTGCAAATTGGCTGCGAACTCGCACCCAAGCCATGATGATTGAAAATGGCTTGTCCCACTTGAGGGACTTGTGTTTAGGTGGAGATCTACCTGTGTTGTTTGCAGATCAGCTAACCCTTGCACTGCATGCATGCAGGCTACTCAGAGGTGTCAAATGTCACACCAGCCTGATCAAACCGTGTACATGTACATGTACCTGGCCAGCGTTTACAGCTACAGCAGTACAGTTGTTGTGGAGGAACTATGTTTATGTGCGTGTACATGTCATTGATTGTACTTGTACTCAGTAAATGCGGTACTACTGCACGACCGCTCTAGCAAAACAGTCATATCCATGTACATGTACACTCATGTACATAAGCATACCATAGCATGGGGCATGGACGTGTACAGTAGATAAACACAGAAAAATGTGCGATAAGACTTTCGAATAGAGGGGGGAGGTAGGGGGTAAAGTCTATTCGAAATGCGTTACGTTTGCAAAATAAATGCGAACTTATGAGATGCTCCCTTACTTTGCGTTTCTTGAGGTAGAGGCCTGAAGTCCCCGCACCTTGTGCAACGGGCTGTCGCGACTCTGGCGTGCCGGGCTCTTGTGTTAGAGCAGCGCCCCCAGATGCACTAACATCAGCTGAGTACTGTGCACTACTTGCTACACCGCCAACACCACCATCATCAGTACCAGCTAGTACTGGCAAGTCAGAATCAGCTGACGGGGATACATTCAACGCTGGGTGCTGGTAGACATGCTGCTGCAGCTGACTTCCTTGTTGAAACATCTCGGTCATTACCAGGGCGGCTCGGTGCTGTGCATCTTGGCCATCCATGCCAGTAGCTGCTGCTGCCGCACTAGCCGGTGTAGAAATGCCTTGAGAACCAGGAGAAGTACCAGCGTTCTGAGCACGTTTCGCTCCAGGCCGATAGTCAGGCTGCAATCACCACAATACATCAATAATTACACAGATACGCAGACGCTCAATTTTCGTCTGATGATCGATTCAGTTCGTGAAACGAGTTACGGAACAGCAACTGCTCGTTCTTTTGTTTGTGTATTCCAGTCTTTGCCTTTGGCAAATTGAGCCCTCTACGGACAGTGGATAAACTTTACATGGCAATTACACGCGATAACAAGTTTCTTTGGAGACAAATTGCTAGAGCACTAAGAAAGAGCACAAACTTCAGGTTCTTCCACACCAACATCTTCAACACCAACATCTTGAAAACGTCTAAGAAGTACAAGTAAGCTTTCAGGCCTTCTCCTCGTTGTGCTCTTTGTTAGTAATTACACAGATCCATGCAGTAACTAACATGCAATGACCACCTCATCGTGTACTTCGAAGTTGCAAACATTGAATCATGTCACATGTACATACGTTCAGAAAGAAGTATCCGCGGCGGTTTGGGCAGCGCGAGAATATATCGTATGGTGAGCGCGAATTGGTTGCCATGATCGAACTAAGTCTGGCAAATGGCGATGTGCTTCTGCTGCTACAAGATGATAACAGGCACACATACACACACACACACACACACATATTAGAACTATACCATATTACCCCCAAAAATGTACAACTCTATGTCTAGTGCTTTTTGGAAGGAGATCAGACCTATACTACCGTAAAGTACCGTTGATCCGCCCCCTCTCTAATTCCCGCCCCCTGTCGATTTTCTCCTTGTGAAGCGACTTCGGCGTATACAACGAAATACGATGTTGAACCGACGCATGCACTGCTGTACACAATACTTGCCAATCCAGGATCAAAATGTGCACAATCCAGCACATTGAGTCTGATCCTCTACGTTGTTGTACATCGTACTGCACTTGACAGCCTTGATCGAATTCCCGCCCCCTGCCAAAAACCTTGCTGGGAAGCGACATGGCGTGGGGGCGGATCAACGGTACTTTACGGTACTATCAGCAAGAGTAACATAAACCCCAGCGATAGGGTCTGCAACGATACAACTTCACATAACATGACAAACCCGTACACATTATTTGCACCCTGTGCAAGATAGACACAGGGTCGTATACACAACCTTGCTTCGGATGCAAGTCTCTTGTGGTCAGTTGCACTGTTTGCCAGCGTAACCTTTTGAACCATGAAAAGGGCCATCCGGCATTATCAACAATTTTCCATTCCGTGTAAGGCCATCATTTTTTATATATATTTTTCGCGTCAGTTCAACTTCCAGAATCATATGTGAGAGGCGGAAAGAAATAAAAAGCTGCAAAATAATGAAAAAGGCTCATCAGAGGTGTATAGCACTGTACATACTATATACAGTCAGAAAGTGCGTTGCGCTTACCAAAGTCCTTCCCCTCTTTGGTCTTTCCATAACCTTGAACCTTCTGAGTTGGAAGGCTGTCGGTTAGCGCTACGGAGATGTGTTGAAGCTAGGTGTCAGGACGTCGAATGTCTCAGTACTATGTCAGTTTTGTGCCTAGTTGTTGCACTTTCTGACTGTATATAGTATCTGGTTACAGTGATGGAGAGTTACTCTTAACTCGTATCCATACCGTATTATCTCTAATATAAGCACAGTCTCCAATAATAGCACGTCTCCGATAATAGAACACCTTGGGGCGGCATTCAAAAAATAAAGTGCTCAGTCTCCATTATAAGCACACTGTGTAAGACGCTGAGAAAAACCACCAGAATTAGAAAGCCTTAGAGAAAAGTGGGAAAACTGCTAGTCCATGATATTGAAATACACTATAGGCCACTCAGAAAAGGCGGGGTGGCGAGTCCCAATTTTCTTGCGCACATCATTAACCCTTTGTGACCCCACTGAAAGTACGACAAATTCCTCACCTTCGTATAACATGCACTTTCGCTTGTATCTCTGCCAAACGGTCATTGATTTTTACAAATTTGCCACCGCTGGAAAGGTATTTCCAAGACTAAGCGAATAATACCACACTCAAACCAGCTACTTGCACGGCCTCAGCTCTGCGTGGCCTAGAATGCCACTCAAAACAGCAGCCGTGCGCGAACAGCTCCAGCAAAGTTCAAACAGCCGCCACTCCTTCATCACATCGACTTCAAACAAACTACAGCGGAAAGCTTGTTTCAAGCGCAACATTTTGGTGTGCAGCATGCTTGAGTATGACGTAGCACTCCGGGGAAAACCCCTGCCAAGTGCCATGTGAAAATTTGAATTTTTCAACCGGGGTGAATGTTTCAGTTTTCCTCCGACCTCGAGTCTCACCACGGCGGCATTGTACCTCGTAGAGACTTCGGATAACTTCGACGTGATAGTCAAGGTTCCTATCGAAACGTAGATGCTTTGTTTATGAAAAATCGGTGAAGGAACAGATAATTTTTTTAGTGCCATCGATCGATCGATGGGGTCACAAAGGGTTAATATAACATGGCTGATGAAGGCGTTGAGGGTGACGAGTTCGATGATGAAGACAACAGCGACAGTGATGGAGAAGAAAGTTTAAACTTTCTTCTCCATCACTGTCAAAAGATAGATAACAGACAACTGACCCCCACTAGGCACCACCTGTAAACTTTGGATGCGGTGCCGTTTCTGCATTCTGCAAAACATTCTGCAAATGTTTCTTGCTTTACTGGAAGAAGTGGACTAAATCATATTTTTAAATGTTTCAGTTACTTGTGGATGCGCTAGTAAACATGACGTTTGAATAAGGGGCGGGGTGACTTATAGCCGCTAAAATATGCTATGTACAGTACTGTCGGGCGACGAAGAACGGAGTGCATAGACTGCTATACATGAAAATAAGAACGGTCTGGGCTAGGAGGCTGACCCCCCCCCCCCCCCCCCTACAGTTCCTCGGCGATCAACAGTACTACTGTACTCTTTGATGATAACAAGAATACATAACCAATATGTACTCTTGATAATAGGAAAGACGATCAGTGCCACGTAGTGCATATGAAAAGGGATGCCCGCACAGTGAACTCATTCACACCAAAAATACATATACATGTAACTGCAATGCCAAAATAATTATAGGCATAATCGCAAAATAATATTATGTGCCCAACAATGATTTTTTAGAATGGCTCCAATTAAAAATTCAAGTATTTAGTTTAGTTTCTCAAATAAGTAGTAAACTACAACGTAAATCTATACGCCCACCATGAAGAAGTTCATTCAAAAATACTAACATAGAAAGCAGTTCTATCCAGCGACATCAAGAGTACGTCAAGGCCAAAATCTGTATGAAACTTACCTTGACGCGACATCCTTTAGTTCTTTCTCCTGAATACGTTCGAGAATCTCGTTCACGGAGAGAAAATCTCCGGCTGACTCCAACACCTGCAGCAAAACAGAAAATGTCCAGGAAATGCTGGAAGTAGCCAAACACACGCACCGAAGCCTACGTAGCAAAGAGTACCACGATTGTAGCGATATGAGATCAAAGCATGAGAATGTTGCAAAAACCAAATCAAATCAATACGCACAGCGGATGCAGCATCGCTCCAAGTGGGCTCCTTATACTTCTTCTTCTTTACGGGACTCTCAACATTTGCCTCCATCGGTCCTCCTCACATTCCCAATCTGAGAGCAAAGAATGAGCGAGTTGGCACACTGATCCACCTCAGCTAGATGTCTCACACGGAAAGACGATTTCTCTGAAAGGCTAAAAAAAGTATCGCATGTTTTTCAGTGTGTTCTCTCCTTCATTTCATGTTTTTCAGTGTGTTCTCTCCTTCATTTCGCCGATTTTCGGGTCAGTCAGTTTGCCTTCTGGAATTTGTTTTTTACGTGACCTTTCACGTGGAGGACGCGTGTACGTGTACGTGGCGCAAACGTAGTAAAGACGTACACGTACACGTACACGTGATCGATCGCACGTGAGTGCGTCAGGTTGCGAGCATAGCGTGCTATTGTATTGATCACGCATATGCCGCTCGCGCCGTGCTATGCGGTCGTGCTAGCGCTAGCTTACTCAAAGTTACTGACCGCTCGATCGAACACAGAACACAGAACAGTCCTGCAGCCTGTCTGATCTCGATCCAGATCGATCAACGACAACGGACGCGAACACCTCGCTCGGTGGGGAGGAGCACATGCTGTCTCGTATCTATGCTGATTGCAAGAGATTTGAAGACTGTGCCAAGACTGGCTAGAACTAGTAGCAAGAGTATGGGGTATATACTAGTAGTAGTAGAATTTATTATTTTGATAGGGAAGGCCCTACAGTCGTACAGACGTTGCCGGCCGTCTTGTTACAGGGAACCCTAAGTGCTCTTTACAGAGCGAAACCAAAACGGATAGATGCTCAACTACAAATTGTAATTGACGAAACACGAGACAGCCAGAGAATTCCACCTATCAGCGCCAAGGAAAGAAATAGAGAACATGCCATATCTAGTGGTAGCAGCGGGCAATGAAAATGAAGGGAAGGATTGCCCTCTAGTGCGCCTCTCGGTGCAAGTAGCAGCCGACTGGGGGGGGGGGGGGGGTAAAGTTATTGAGGGCTGCGCACTGGGACTAGTGTGCCAAGCTAGACTGGCCAGAGTCTAATAATGCCAGTCAGTACCCTGGACGACACATTTAAATCTGTTCACTAGGTTCACCATCACCTGTCCCTCCCGTGCTTCTCCATCTTGACCATTACTTTTCTTCTTTAATTATTTTATTCACCATGGTTGGTTAACACCCACATCTCCCGTACCGTACTGGCTGATTTTCTTTTCATGCTATGAGGTGTTGTCTATAATAATAATAATAATAATAATAATAATCTGGGGGATCGGTCTAGTCCCTACCCCCCAAAAAACAATACTGTCGATAGTCCCTGTGAGTGTGCTGGGTTAGGCTGTATTGAAAAAACAAACAATGGTTTACAATCTGTATCACAATTATTTGTGGGTTCGGCAATAAAGGATGTGACTCTACAAAATTGAAAGGCTCTAGTCTAGTACCGGTACTAGCAAGAGTACATAATACATAATTAAATTACAAGCCTTGATTGTCCTTGTTGTTCTGTTGTGTATTATGTAACCTGGGTTATGTACTCTTGGTACTAGTCAAAACGGGTTTATTCAAACAATACCGTGAATACGACATGGAAAAAGCTCTACTGGTTTACCATTGTTTACAGCAACATTATTGTTAGTGATCGCTAGGAATCCTACCAGGAGCACTTCGCTGCTTACAGCTGTAGTTAGTTCCTGTGCGGCAATGTCCTCCACCTTGCTGTAACGCCGGTTCGAGTATAACACTAGTATTATCCTCCTCAGACCTGAACGAACTACAATTACGGTACTTGCCAACTGGAGCAAATGATCTACAACTCGAAGGGCAGTCGTCAGTGGACTTGAGAGTTTGAATGTGTCATGATGTTCCCCAGCCCCGGCCCTGTGTTGAAAGAAGCTAGACGCAGCCTTCGGCTCCCAGGATCGTGCAGATTATAATCGGATCCACGCTGCCACAGAGCTACAGCTGTACTCGTAGAGGCACAGACTTCATGGGTGAGGTAAGGCGCCGGCTCGCGCTACATATACACCGCATCTAGAACCAGTGCATGAGGGAAGCCGGGAAGAGGGAACACTTGGTAGAATACAATCAGGAGCGATCAAGAGGGAAATAGTAGAACTAAAAAAAACGAAGCACGATGGCACTATGTAGTCACTGCCCATGCCGCCATAGTCCATGGACCATGGCATAGGCTAGCCAGGTGTAGGGTCAGTGACATAGTCATCTAGCACTTCCTCCCCTGAGATCATTGTTACTATGGTTACAATCCTGCACTGTCATGAAGAGTATGTCACTGCACTGCTGCCAGTCTGTCACTAGGCTTTTCCGGATTATGCGTTTTTTCTTGGTCTAAAATGGAAATGGAAAGTGTTTTGAAAAACCCCTATAAATCAATTTTTTTCTAAAGAAAATGCAAAAATTTACCCAAAAAGCACAAAAAATGCCACCGTTGCCATGGTAACAAAATGGCGACAGCTAGTCGCGTGACATTTGGCACCATGGTGATCATTCATGGTGATCATGAAGGCGAAAGGCTAAAGGGACAAGCCCAACTATTTTTGCGGATTTTCTGTCATAAAAAATAAACGTCACAGGCTGCTCTTCGTAGGTGTCCGCGTCCCAGCGGTCCGGGCAAGCGACCGCACCTCAGTGGGACACTTGGCCGTGGCTTTTGTACTGCAATCTGTGGGAGAGCCTTTCCAGGGGTAGTACACACCTGGCCTGGGTACCAGGTATGGACGAATCCCTGGTACATGGTGTTGATCCTTTTTTGTTCCTTTCCTTTTTATTTGTTTTTGCTGAGAAAGAAACGTTGCTGTTTCTGTTCCCGCCAGCGCCTTTGCTCTAGTAAAACATTGCTGGCTGATAAATGGTCATTGCTCGTGATGCCAAAGGTGAAGGGAATCTGGGTTTCTTGCCATTTGCAACTCCCTGTCTCTGAAAATGTAGCTTGTACAGTAGCTCCGAGTATGTTAGTTTTTCGACGTGCCAGACCTATTGGTATGAGCTGCAGAGATGAGGAGCAACGAAGGCGTTGGATTAATGCGTTGGATTGATGCCAATAATGGTGTTTATGGCCGGACAACGCCAGCGGTTTTCACTTGTCAGGAGGACAGTCAAGTTGGAGCAGGCAGATGACGGATTATTAATTTTGGCGCATTTTTTTGCAGAGTGGGTGGCTTGCCGAAGAGAATCATCTCAGTACCTCATGGTTACTACTAATACTAGTATCTGACAAATGCCTCTTATTGCTAGTCTGCATTAGAGCATAGCAGAATTGGTCATGTCACAAGTACTAGTAGTGTCAAGACTTGATGTGCTACGATTGTACTCAGATCATGTGGCAACTTCACGGTAATTCGTCCTGCCACTTTACGCTCTCCCGGAATTCCCTGCAGAAGTCACGTGCCTGTGCAGGGGACAACGTGTTTGCATTGCTTACTGATGCAAGCGGATGGAGTGCAGAGCAGATAAGAAGACATAATCTGGCTATTCAAATAGCTTCGGCTGCTATTAATTGGCTGGACTCCTGGAAACGTGGGCAAGAATCTAAACCAGTCCACGGAAACGATGTGACGCCACACAGGAAGCTAAATGGCAAACCAATCAAGTTCTTTGGTAATGAAACCTTTCACCAACGTTGTCCGGTTTCATGCCTAGTGTCACTCACACAAGACCAATGGATGCCACATGTACCTAAAAGATACGCTGTTGATCAACCACAACTCCAATACCACTGAGCAGCGTCTTCTATACAGATCCAATTAGATATTGAAGTATATGAGTCGAAGTTGCTGGTATAGTCTCTCCTAATGACCGCGTATTTGGCATAATTTTCTCTATACTGCACTCTAGAGCTACTTACCTTTTCCGACATTGAACTCAGGCAGTGACCACTCGCCCACAGAATGAGCCAATTGACACAGACACCAAGTACCATGTGCATTCGTCGCAAGAGAGACACGCAAGTTTGCAAGTGCAGTGGATGTACACCCACTGATTTTCTCTTATGCCAACGATATCAGACATGACCTGAGTGAAACATATCAAGACTAGCACAGCATTACTGCCCAATTCCGTAATTATAATTATTGCGATGCCTTGTGAAAGGATTCTCAATGCACACCTGGTCTACGCCACACGGAATACATCGGATGATAATGACCAAGACAGCTGCCTATGTCTTTCTCTTTCCCTCTCTCTCTCTCTCTCTCTCTCTCTCTCTCTCTCTCTCTCTCTCTCTCTCTCTCTCTCTATCTTCATCTATATCTATCTATCTATCCAATCTGGGGACAGAACTGTTTCGTCCTTTGTGGACTCATTAGCACAGCACAGAGAAATGAGGCCGAACCTGATTGCAATGAAAAATAAATTCCAAAGCCATATTTAAACCAGGGCCGAATATACTGTGCCAAAAATATCTCTCTATCTATCTCTTTATCTCCTTGAGGGCACACTGGGTCCCCTGTTTTCGCAATTCTCCACCTATCAACTCCCTTCTGTGTTTGTGTGTGTGTGTGCGTGCACGGGTGCAGGGTATATGCGCACATATCTTTCCTTCTCTTCCTGTCTTTACCTGGTTTGTGAATCGGCTTTTTAATCATATTTTTTTTCGGCTCACTGTTTTATGAGTTCACCTCATTATTGCACACAGGCAAGCAGTCAGGCAGCATTACAACAAATCAGCTTTGCTTCACTCCTGTACAGTAGTGTCTACTACACTCTGCTTTCGCCGCATTCGACAACTCTCAGCACTCTAGATCTGTGTGCATTATGCTGCTACCTACTTGTATTATACTACTTCAGTATTAGAAATCCAACGAACGAAATCTCTCGTATCTGTGTGTCTCCACATGTTTCTCTGTCTGTCTGTCTCTCTATTCTATTAATATATCTATCTGTCTGCCTCTCTCTCTCTCTATGTGTCTCTGTCTGTGTCTTGGTTTTTCTGTATGCCTGTCTTTGTCATTCTCTAGCTGTCTGCCTATCTCGTTCTGTCCGTGTGCCTGTCCCTATCTGTCTGTCTGTCCATCTGTCTGTCTGTCTGTCTTCCTTTCTGTTTCTCTGTCTCCATCTGTCTGTCTCTGTTTTTCTGTCTGCTTCTCTTCTTCAGTCTTTCTCTGTGTGTCTCTCTTTGTCCCTCACTCGGTCACTGTTCTCTGTCTCTTTCTTTCTCAGTTTTCTCTCTCTGTTTCTGTGTGTGTGCGTGTGCGCGTGTCTCTCTCTCTCTTCTCTTCTTCTCTCTCTCCCCCCCCCCTCTCTCTCTCTCTCTCTCTCTCTCTCTCTCTCTCTCTGTGTTTCTCTGAATCTTCGTCACGGCCTTTCTGTCTGCCTATCTGTGTTTGTCTGTGTAACTCTCCAGCTGTCTCCCTGTCTTGGTCTGTCTCTGCTTGTCTCTCTCTGCTTGTCTCTCTATGTTTGTCTGTCTTCTTGGCCCTGTACTTATGTCGCTGTTTCTCCGTTTGCTTCTCTTCTGTCTCTCTCTCAGTCTCTGTGTCTTCTTCCTTCTCGATCTGCCTCTCCCTTTCTTAGTTTTTTTCTCACTGTCTCTCCCTAAGGACCCTCTGTCTCTGGCTCCCTGAGTCTTTGTGTCTGTCTCTCCTTTTGTCATTCATTATGTGCGTCCCTCTGTTTCTGTCTCGGTCTTTCTGTGTCTGATTGTCTGTATCTGTCTGTTTTCTCCTCAGTCTGTGCTTTGTCTCTTTCTCTCTGAGTCTGTGTCTCTGTCTGTCGCTCTTTATGCGCAGCATCCCTCCGTTTCTGTCTTTCTGTGTCTGTCTGTCTGTCTCTATCTCTCTACCAGCCGCTGTTCTACACATAATGAAATTGTGTGGCACCGCGCACGTGGCTATGCGTGGGACATTCACACGCACACACACACACACATCCGTACGCTCGATCATACAAGTACATGTAGTAGTGAAGAATTCACCTCAGACACATTATTAAAACGTATCTCTCTTTCTCTCTCTCTCTCTCTCTCTCTGTCTGTCTCTCTCTCTATGCCTGCCACTGTGCTGCATATACAGTTAGTGAAATTGAATGGCACAGAACACGTACATGACTGTATATTTACGCACACGTGGGGCATTCACGGATGCACCCACACACACCATGTATACGCCCGTCGCAAGAGAAGCACCAAATCTGCAAATGCACACCCACACACACACACTTGTACGCTCGATCATACAAGTACACACACACACACACTCATACGCTCGATCATACAAGTACAATGTAGATTATGTAGTAGTGAAGAATTCACATCAGAGACATTAAAACGTCTCTCTCCCTCTCGCTCTCTCTCTCTATGCCTGCCACTGTGCTGCATAATATTATACAGATAGCGAAATTGGTGTGGCATATAACATATACATGACTGTATATTTACCCACGGGCCAAGCGTGGGACATTCACGGATGCACACACACACACACACACACCACACCACACACATGGCCTGCAGCAAATAACATTTCATAGCTACAAGACCTTCAAAGAAAGTCATGGTGTCAAGAAGATAGACACGTACAAGGATAATTGTAAAGTATAAATTATATTATACATGTACATGTAGCAGGGATATTCTCAGAGAGTCAAACTACCGGATGAAATGGCAAACGAAAGTCTCAACTTCAGAGAGTAGAGTAGAGAGTAGAGTGGGTGGGTGTGCAGACCAGCGAAGGTCATAACAAATTGATAATAACGTGTAACCAATGCCGGCAATGGATAATGTGTGAGCGACCAAAGAGGCGTACATAGCATTACCTGTACCACCATAAACACACCTTGACCTTGCCCATTGCGTAGCAATGATACCGCATTGTTATTTCTCCAGTCCACGACAGAATGACTGATGGCGTTTCAGGTCGCCGCTTCGACGGAACATGCGGCCGCAGGCGCAACCGTAGCCAGCAGCAGAGGGTGCCTTGTGTGGTCGATGGGCAATGGCACGCCACTCCGGATGGTTCTGGGCTGCATCGTACCATCCACATGTTGGTACCGGTGGCTCAACCGGCTCAAAGTCATGCATAACAACGTCCCTCCACCTCTTGCGTGGATCACGCGCGGGGCGCGGGGCAGGCAGTTCACCGAAGAGAACACACTTCGGCAACCGGTGAT